GACCACAGTTCAACCGTTAGTACCGTGAAATATCGCCTACCGGTTTAACCTCCGATAATGGTATTTTGTGGTTGAACCGCCGGTACGATACGGTTTCATGAACCATTTATGGAACGAAATTTTTATTACTTATCTTAATAACTAATAAAGCATGTCTACAGTGCACACGGATTTTAGCTGCGTTTAAACGGTGTATCGTTTGAATAATTAATTTATAATTTTTTTAAAAGTTTATTTTTATTAATTTTTTTCAAATTTCATACAACCATTATGACATTTCGCATACATATGGATTCGTGGATGTATTGTAGACACATATATTGTTAATACCTAAGCATATATAAAGAGTTTTATTTACTTTTGGTTTAATACACTTGTATATCCAAAACTTTCATGGTTGTGCCAATAATATCCAAATTTCCCGAAATACCATTTACATCCATGTTTTAAAGTTGTTCTTTGCCAAATCTATCCATTTTCCAATATATTTTTGGTTAAATACACTTGTATATCCAAAAACGCCGTTAAAGAATGTGAAGTAATTGGATATAAGTAGTATTTCGGGAAATTTGGATATTATTGGCACAACCGTGAAAGTTTTGGATATACAAGTGTATTTAACCTTTACTTTTTAATCCTAATTAATACTTTCGAACTTTGCTCGTTTAATGGAATATGGAAGGAAAAAAAATTGTGGCTAGGATAACTCGATCTAAATACAAATTGCATACTATTACAAAGTAAAATATTTATGTTTGGACACTTTGATATCAAAAGAATTTTGTTATTGCCAAAATTTGATACAGAGTCACAGTCTCACAACCGTACTACGAAATAACTTCTTACAATTACCTTGTTGAACTCATTCTTATTAAAGGTTCTTCATTTTTAACCCAATAACTCGGTTTAGAATTTTGTAACTATAATTGCTTTTGGTGTTGATATCTCAACCAATAAATGAGTAGAAAATTGTCTTATTGAGGTAATAATATGTTTTCGGTTTAAAAAAAAATGTGATAGATTTCACTTTAAAAAAATTAGTCTATTATTGCATACATAGATATAATGCAAAATAAAAAATAAATTATTGAATAAAATAAAAAATATTAAAAGAGAGATAGCTCCATAAATGAATCATTAATTCAATTTTTAGTTTCTAAAAAAATTGTCCACCTTGCCAACTTGTGAGTTCTCCAAATGCTTATGTGGCAATAAGTAACTTTTGAACAACCATAATATATAGTAAGATAAGATAAGCTTCTGCCATTAATAAAGTGAACAGATTTGTTATTAATACACCACATAAACCTTAATACTTTTATGTCTTTTCATTAATAATGTAACGTTACAACACCGCTATTGTCCTAACAAATTTTGCATTTTACAACAATCACAAATAGTTGTCTGTTATAAAACTAATGAAAATGTAAGCAACTACAAGAGAGGATTGGAGGAGGAAAGACACAAAAGAAGTGAGGGGAATAGTTCTTCTTATTCATACTCAATTTGTGATACAATAGTGTGCTCTATTTATAGGCACCCTTTGGTAACCACTACACCCTTACATCAATGCATATAAATTAGAGATAATAATATAGGAATGGGAGTTACATGTAACTCCCAAGTGAGCATCTAATGTGGTAGGCCATTGGTCATCCAAATATTAATATTTACATAATACTCCCCCTTGGATGACCACTAGATTGCATTATTACGCTATCTCATGCTGCCTCATTAAAAACCTTACCAGGAAAACCCAGTGGGAAAAACCATGGTTAAGGGAAAAAGAGTGCAGCGCGTATATGCTCCCCCTCATGACCACATCAGCTCAAGTCTTTGAGTCGTCGAACTCCAATTTCACGAACAAGCTTTACAAAGATTGTCGTCGGGAGTGACTTGGTGAATAAATCTGCTAGATTCTCACTTGAACGAACTTTTTGAACAATTATTTCACCACTCTTTTGAAGATCATGAGTGAAAAAGAACTTGGGTGGAATATGTTTTGTTCTATCTCCTTTAATATATCCTTCCTTTAATTGAGCAATGCATGCTGCATTATCTTCATACATGATCGTCGGGATCATTTTTCCTAGAGATAGTCCACACGATTCTCTGATGTGTCGAATTATAGATCTTAACCAAACACATTCACGACTTGCCTCGTGAATTGCTAGGATTTCAGCATGATTGGATGATGTGGCTGTTATAGTTTGTTTTGTGGATCGCCACGAAATAGCTGTACCACCACAAGTGAACAAATATCCTGTCTGAGATCTACCATTGTGGGGATCTGAGAGATATCCTGCATCTGCATATCCCACTAAATCCATCTTCAATGCACTCGAATAGAACAAGCCCATATCTGTCGTTCCTCGAAGGTAACGGAGTAAATGTTTAACTCCATTCCAATGTCTTTTAGTGGGAGAAGAGCTATATCTTGCCAATATATTCACAGCAAACGATATATCGGGTCGTGTGTGACTGGCTAGATACATTAATGCTCCTATTGCACTAAGATATGGCACTTCAGGGCCAAGCAAATCTTCATCACTTTCTCGAGGTCTAAATGGATCTCTTTTCACATCAAGTGATCTTACAACCATTGGATTACTCAACGGGTGTGATTTGTCCATATAAAATCGCTTAAGCACCTTTTCAACATATCCTTCTTGATGCACAAAAATACCATCCTTCAAATGTTCAATCTGTAATCCAAGACAAAACTTTGTTCTTCCTAAATCATTCATTTCAAACTCTTTCTTCAAGCAATCAACTGCTTTTGGAAGCTCTTCGGGAGTTCCAATGATGTTTATGTCATCAACATAAACTGATATTATAAAAAACTCACTACCCGATCTCTTTAGAAAAACACATGGACAAATAGGGTCATTCGTGTATCCTTCTTTCATCAAATATTCACTGAGACGATTGTACCACATTCGTCCAGATTGTTTCAATCCATACAAGGATTTGTTCAATTTGATAGAAAAATTTTCTCGAGAATGTGTTTTGTTCGCTTCTGGCAAAGTGAATCCTTCAGGGAGTTTCATATATATATCATTCTCAAGTGATCCATACAAATAGGCTGTCACAACATCCATTAGACGCAGATCTAGTCCTTCTCGAACTGCTAGACTAATCAAGTATCGAAACGTAGTTGCATCCACCACAGGGGAGTATGTCTCCTCATAATCAATGCCAGGTCTCTGTGAGAATCCTTGTGCGACAAGACATGCTTTATATCTCACGACTTCACCTTTTTCATTTCTTTTCCGCACAAAAACCCATTTGTATCCCACTGGCTGTACGTTTTCTGGTGTAAGGACTACCGGTCCAAAAACCTTTCGCTTTGAAAGCGAGTTTAATTCTGCCTCAATGGCCTCCACTTTGGCCAATCATCTCTTGACTTGCATTCATCAATAGATCTTGGTTCATGATCCTCATTTTCATTCATCACACTCAACGCTGCAGCGTAAGCAAAAACATCGTCGACGATTATTTTACTTCGGTTCCAACATTTTCCATCCAAGACATAATTGATTGAGATCTCTTCATTATCAAAACTTTCAGGTGCCTGATGTTCTTCGGGAACTACAATCTTAGTTATGCTTGGGGACTTTTCTTGACCTTTCATATCCTCGATTTGACCAACTTGATTCATAGCTCCTTTTCTTTTTCGAGGATTTTTATCCTTGGAACCTACTGGTCTACCACGCTTCATTCGTGGTTTAGATTCATTTGCAATTTCAGATTGTCCAACAGGGACATCAACTTTCACTGGAGCATTTACAGCTGGTATGTGTGACTTTGTCACTCTCTTCTGATCAGTAAAAGAATCCGGCAGTTGGTTTGCTAAACCTTGTAAATGAATTATCTTTTGAACTTCCAGTTCACATTGTCTAGTACGAGGATCAAGGTGAGATAATGATAATTCATTCCAACAAATATCTTTTCCCAGCTGTTTGCTCTCACCCCCTAATGTTGGAAAAACTGATTCGTCAAAATGACAATCAGCAAAACGAGCAGTGAATAAATCTCCCGTCAAGGGTTCTAAGTATTTTATGATTGACGGGGACTCATATCCAACATAAATTCCCAACCTCCTTTGAGGACCCATCTTAACACGCTGTGGTGGAGCAATAGGGATGTAGACGGCACACCCAAATATTTTTAGATGGGAAATATTAGGTTCCTGACCAAAAACCATTTGCAAGGGGGAAATTTCATGATAACTTGTTGGCCTTATGCGAATTAATGTTGCCGCATGCAATATAGCATGTCCCCAACAAGAAATTGGCAAGCTTGTTTTCATAAGCAATGGTCTTGCAATAAGTTGCAAACGCTTAATAAATGATTCTGCAAGGCCATTTTGTGTATGAACATGTGCTACAGGATGTTCAACATCAATGCCAGTGGACATACAATAGTCATTGAAAGTTTGTGAAGTATATTCACCAGCATTATCTAGACGTATTTTCTTGATTGGAAAATCAGGAAAATGTGCTCGTAGTCGTATCAATTGGGCAAGTAATCTAGCAAACGCCAGGTTGCGAGTTGATAGTAAGCACACATGTGACCATCTAGTTGATGCATCAACTAAAACCATAAAATATCTAAATGGTCCACATGGTGGGTGAATTGGCCCGCATATATCACCCTGTATACGTTCTAAAAATGTGAGAGATTCACTCCTTACTTTCACAGGTGATGGCCGTATAATCAACTTGCCACGAGAACATGCAACACATGGTACATCTTTAAACTGATAAATTTTGTGACCTTTCAATGGATGTCCACATGTATTGGCAATGATTTTTCGCATCATAATCAATCCGGGATGGCCTAACCGGTCATGCCAAACTATAAAATTATCAAGATTTGTAAACTTCTGGTTTACCACTGCATGTGTTTCAATTGTACTAATAAACGTGTAGTACAACCCAGAAGAAATAGCAGGCAATTTCTCCAATATGTGTTTTTTATCGGAGACCATATTTGTTATCATAATATACTCTTTATTCTCTTCTTCCTTTGTCTCAATATGATATCCATTTCGGCGAATATCTTTGTAACTCAATAAATTTCTTTGAGACTTTGAAGAGTATAAGGCTTCATTGATATACAACTTGGTCCCTTCTGGTAACAATACACTAGCTCTTCCGGAGCCTTCAATTAGATTTGTACTTCCAGATATAGTACTAACATTTGCTTCTCGCATTTCAAGATGAGAAAAATATTTCTTATCCTTCAAGATTGTATGTGTCGATGCACTATCAATAAGACACACATCATGGTTTTTTATCTTGGTGCCAAGCATGGGAATATTCATTCTTCACAAAAGATAGAAAGTAAATCAATATAAGAAAATATCTCCAAACAAATATAAAAATAATAACATGATTATAATAGATGAAATTTAACCACATAAGGATTATAAAGAGAAATTATATTAAACTGACACATTAATAGGAAAAACACACTCAAGGAAAACGACAAAGAAAGTGAAATTTCAAATGGGAAACCCAAACTTTTCACTTGTGAACAAAGCGACAACGAAATAGAAATTTCAAATGGAAATGCTAAGTTTTTCACTTGCGAACATTCCCATCACCAATCAGGTGATCTATTTTTCCTTCAGGGTGGGCAAAGAAGTCGGACACATCTAGATGAGTAGCATCATTATAGTCTTTTCCTGAATCATCTTCCTCAAAAATACAATTGGTTTCTATCTTCTTCCCTTTCAATGATTCTTGGTAGAGGTTAACCAAGTGTTTTGGCGTACGACAGGTACGAGACCAATGACCTTTTCCACCACAACGGTAACACACATTTTCGACGTGTTTGTTACCATGAACACTTTGTTCCTTGCTTCTCCTACCATCATTTTTTTTCACTTCTGGGGAAAAATGAGCTTTTGGAACTTTCACCACGACCATTACCACGACCAAGATCTCGGCCACGGCCACGACCTCGAGCATGAGCATGACCACGCCCACGTCCTCGTCCATGTCCACGTCCATGTATTTGCCCATAAGGATATTGGGTGAACGTCGCCGCATTCGCTTCTGGGAATGGGGCGGCACCAGTAGGACGAGATTGGTGATTTTTCATTAGGAGCTCATTATTTTGTTCAGCAACAAGGAGACAAGAAATCAGCTCAGAATATTTCTTGAAACCTTTCTCACGGTATTGCTGCTGCAGGAGCACATTGGATGCATGAAAAGTGGAGAATGTTTTTTCCAACATATCTTCATCAGTAATATTTTCTCCACATAACAGTAGTTGTGAGGTTATTTTGAATAGCTCCGAATTATAATCACTCACAGATTTAAAATCTTGTAACCTCAAATGCATCCAATCATAACGAGCCTTAGGAAGAATCACAGTTTTTTGGTGGTCATACCGCTCCTTCAAATTAGTCCACAAAATAAGTGGATCTTTGACCGTAAGATACTCATTCTTCAATCCCTCGTGGAGGTGATGTCGAAGAAAGATCATTGCTTTAGCTTTGTCTTGATCTGATGCTTCATTGCCCTCTTTAATCGTGTCTCCAAGACCGTTGGCAGCTAAATGAATTTCAGCATCTAGCACCCATGATAGGTAATTCTTTCCAGTGACATCAAGAGCCACAAACTCAAGCTTTGAAAGGTTCGACATACTATCATAAAAAAATATACACAAATTAAAGTCAAAATTAAATAAATAAATATAGATTACTATCAAGACAAACGACTTATGTGACCCATGATATATCAATTTGATATTTTTACAAATATATAAATAAATTCGAATTTCAAAATAAAAAAAATATTAAGAAGGAAATTATACCTTTGCATTCTCAAACAAAGATTTCATGTGTTGATTAATAAATGAAATTATGTAAATTGAAATAGGACAATAAAAGAAACAATTTGGGAGAATCGACATACCTTGAGCAGAACAATTGTGAATTTAACCTTTTCAAAAGGAAGAGTCTCGTGCTGATAACGTGTTATAAAACTAATGAAAATGTAAGCAACTACAAGAGAGGATTGGAGGAGGAAAGACACAAAAGAAGTGAGGGGAATAGTTCTTCTTATTCATACTCAATTTGTGATACAATAGTGTGCTCTATTTATAGGCACCCTTTGGTAACCACTACACCCTTACATCAATGCATATAAATTAGAGATAATAATATAGGATGTAACTCCCAAGTGAGCATCTAATGTGGTAGGCCATTGGTCATCCAAATATTAATATTTACATAATATTGTCGATTAAAAGTAACTTTATCAACTTTTTAGCTAAGTATTATTAACAATATAAAATATCATTATTATATTACAAACCAACATCATTTAATAGTTAATATCGGACAAACTTTCATTATAAAGCAAAGCAGACCATTTTCACATTACAATTAAAATTTACTTACTGTATAAACCAATAAGACCTACATTACAAAACAAACTTTCGTAGCCCGTAGGTTACAAACAGAAGTACAGTGTTTACAAATCGTACTCTTATTTTGTCCCTGGTTTTCTTTAATGTCTTCCTTTGTCCTATTTTGTTTCCTATCCTCATTCTGACTGCTATTTTTTCTTTTGTCTTTCTCTTGTTTAATGTTTCTCCTAAATGTAACAAATGGTTCTCGCATTTATTGAACCAATTATGCCCTCCTTTGCATTTCTCTATTTTTACTTTTTCTTTCTCAGTTAGTAAAATGTTTCAAACAATAAGAAAAATTAATATTGAGAATTAATAATTTAGATGTCCTGCATTTTGCGTTAATCACAATCAAATAACACCAAATCGATGTAGTTAGTGGTTAGCCATTAATCACTGTGATGCAGTTTGTGGTTAGTATTTTTAGTGATTTGTGAATGTGGTTAACCTTCTGTTGCGATTACCATATCAACTTGTACCCTAGTAGTTTGTTAGAGAGCTCTATAACACTATGAATAATGTGGAGTGGGAAAGATAAACTATCAATCCGTATGATAAATAGATGAAATCATCCAATCGGTACGTTTTGTGGTTATGATTTTTGGTTTCCTCCCTTTTGGTCATTGGATATGTTTTTTTTTTCTTTGACAGGTAACAGACAGAGTCGAGGGTATTAAAATACACTGCGATGATCCTAAGAAGAAATTTGGCATTTCGAAAGAATGCTCCATGGAGTTATTAGAGTTGAGATACCCGGACATAAAAACTAACATGCATGTTGATGATTTCAGTAATTACGTTCCAAATTTAAGATGGCTTTGATTATCAATCAAATATGTCGAGTCTATTCCTAAGTTTAGTGTGGAAAATTTGGTAATTCTTGAAGTCTCACGCTTGGTGAAGGATGAGTCGGGAGCTTTGATTCATATCAAGGTATGGGTTATCACTTATCACTTTATTACTTAAATAAACGCCCTGTTAAATATCATTTTGGTTTTTGTTATATATTTTCATATATGAAAATAAAGACAGAAACCTATTTAGTTTTTTTCATGACAATATGAGTTAACTGAAATCAGTAAAACCATTTTATTGTTGTGGTTGCTTAAAAAAACTGTTTCTTGTGGGAGGATATAAGTTGTTGATATAATTTCATTGACCTACTTTCTACATATTTTTCGCTCTCTTCGCAAAATCCAAAATCTTATTGCAATATTAGTTTCATATATTTTTTCTTCTCAATTTTCTCACAACTTGTGATGCCACATTATTTATGCTATTATTTTTTAACATTTATCGGATTCTCAACATTGATATTAAACGAGGCGTACATAAGTAACTAAACGCAGTTTGGTTTATGGTGGCCAACTTCCATGATTTCTCAGAATTACCAACTAAACACATGCTTCTATTTTTTATTTGTATATTGTTGTGGTTGGACCTTTGTTGTCACAACTCTACCGAGTAACCACAACAGTAACAAAATATACTAAACATTAACAAAAGTATACTAAATGGGCCTTTAAGTATATTTGTTAGAGTTTCTTGATCAATTATTACCCACTGACATTTGTACATGTTTATTTTCCTCCTTTGTTTTCTTTGATGATTGCATACATATGGCGAGCAAGTTCAAAGTTCTCAAACTTTGGGATTGCTGCTGCCTGCGAGCATTACCCGAGTTTCCATGTTCCGGGAGTCTCGAGATATTAGATATGAAGAGTGCCTTGTGCTTTCCGTCTGATGGTAACGACCTAGATTTTGCCAATTTGTGGAATCTGAAAGTGCTCCTTATGCAAAATTGTGGAGTCAAAGAGATGACATGCAGTAGTAGCAGAACCATTGGGATGTTGCATCTGCTTCCGTGGTCTCTAACCACCCTCCACATTAACGAGTGTCAAAAACTGAAGTGCCTCCCCAATCTAGAGAATCTGGAGAACTTGACTGCCCTATCCATCCACAGTTGTCCCTTGTTGAAGGAGATCATCGGCCTTGGAGGGCTGAAACCCTTGAAAACTCTGAGTCTAAGTTTTTTGCAGGCTGTGCCCAATGTGGATGGTCTAGACAGTCTCTGCTCTTTGAAATCCTTGATACTGACACACTGCGATGCACTGGAAAGACTACCCAACTTGGCATTTTTGGGAAAGTTGCTTCATCTAGACATCTCATGTTGCCACAACCTCTCGGCAATCCAAGGCCTTGGTGGGTTGGAATCGTTGCAAACGCATCTGATTGACGGTGCAAAGTGTTTAACTTGTCTCCTCGGCTTTGAAACTCTCCTGTCTCCTAACAAGTTGTGAGAATTTGTAGATACGTTGCTGCCCTCTTCTCACATTGTTGCCATTCGATGGCTTTGATGACCATGAACGCGGAACAAAAGCAGCAGTACTTGACTCTTTGAAGGAGCTACAAATTGGTAGAATGATGTTGTGGTGCAAATCCTCTGCCGGATGATTCAACTGTTAATGTTCCCATGTCTCACGAAATTGATACTTAGCGAGGAGGCGATTGATAATGCTTACACAGAGTTGTGGATGGATGGAATCGAGTGTATGAAAGAATTGGTTGAACTACATTTGTATGAGTTGGCCTCAATTTGGAGACTACCTTCCCTCTCAAAGCCGGGAAATTTGACAAGGTTAACCATCGAAAATGCTCCAAATCTGCGTGAGGTTGGAAGCTTTTCTGGTTTGAAATCCTTGGAAGAGATATATTTTAAGGGATGTGCAGATTTGGAAAGATTGCATGCGGATCAACTATATGGTTTGCAGTGATTGAAAAGCCTGGACATCATTGGCTACTCAAACTTGATTCATCCATCTGCTCTAAGGAAACTGGAGCCCGAGGAAAGGATACTGTGGCCAGATTATATGGCCACATCGTGAGCGGTGGATAATCCGATTACTTACCTTCTTCATATTTTGAAATCTTTGATGTCAAAAGAATTAATCTTGGTGTTTGGATATTGATCACTACGACCCTTCCTATTCACTCTTAGTTTGCAGTTATCTTAAATTTCTGCATGTGATATGAATAGTGACATAAGTTATCAGTGAGTGAATGGTATGAAATAACTTGCATTTGAATGGCTATCTAGTAAAAATCTTTTAGATCACGAGGAAAGAAGGCTATTTCTTTGATGCTCTATTCATTAAAGAGGGGAGAAAATTGGAGAGAGAGAAAATATAGAGGGAATGAAAATTTGAGAGTAGTGAAATAATGGGAGAAAAGTGGTATTCAATTTTGAAGGGAATGGAATGAGATAAGAGAACCAATAAGAGGCAATAGTTGTTTTCACCTCAAATTGGAGGGGAGGGGGGGGGGGGGGGGGGGGACAACTGCTACAGTAACTTTGTCCCTGAATAACCACTCTCCCATACTGTAGCAAAACTTATAAACAGGGAAAAAGTTCTGAATCCCTCAATTTTCCAATACTTTTTTCTCCACCCTATATTTTTCATCATTCATGAATATAGGGTTAATGAATGGGAAAGAAGGCTTTGATACAACTATTAGTAGCATGTTTGCTCAAAGTGATTACGGAGAAGGCTCTAATTAGGAGCGGATGTTCGGTCAGATCAATAAAAATTCGATTTCGATGAATCCAAACCGAAAAGGGCATGTATGGTTGATTGAGTTTAAAAGGAAATATAGTTCGGTTCCAATCATTCTGAAACCAACTATTGTTTGATTCTTCTCGAATTTTACCAAACAAATCAAGTTGACGCCAATGCCATACACAAATCTCATCCCAACTTCTTTCCTTATATGAAAAAGAGCACTCTTCCTCTTTTCCCTTTCTCGCTCGGCTTCTTGAAAAAGAAGCTCCATATCAAGTAAGTTACAGATTTTGGTTATAAATAGAAGAAACGAAGATGAAACGAAAATTCCTGAAATCATTGTGTAGAGGCACATGTTAACTGGTCCTTTTCTCTGCAAACAAAATAGTCATACGAGTAACATTTGGAACTTTTACTAGATCTCCATATGAGTAGAGTAATTTAGTTTAGTTTATTCCAAAATTCATCAAAATATCAAATATCTTTGTTCATACTTTGTTTGAGGAGTTGTAAAGCGGGTTTAGAATCGTTGTTAAAAAGTCGAAGATGCAATCAGTTAATGTCAACACGAAGTTTATAGTAATACTTATTGCTCTGGTTCTTCTTACTTCTCGACTGCTCTCTGGTGGTGGACAGACAAGATAGTATATGTTCCAACCAAAGAGAGGGTGACATTTAATCTGGTGCTTCTAATAATTCTTACTCTTAAGGCCTTGATGAACTAATTGAAAGCCAGGAAAAGCACCAGGAACAAATTTATAGCAATCCATCCATATGCACTTTAAGTGTTAGCAAATCTAGTGAGACCATTTGTGTACATAGTCACTCTTGCCCAAAGCCCACTTGATCTTTCGTTTACTTGAGCCTTGTCAGCTTCTGTAACTGCTAGCTATTCCACTTCCTCTGTAACAACTAGCTTTTGCTTTCCCCTTCTTATAACAGCTCGGTTGTCCTTCTTCTTCTTCTTCTTCTTCTTCTTCTTCCTGTATTTTGAGAAACGGATGTAAGCCGTGTGGAGACACACAATCATAATCTGATCAATCGCCTGAAGGGTTCTAACTCATTCGTGGATTAGTCCTGCATTCCATGGATACCACATAAAATCTGTTTCTCATTTCGTTTACCGTCTGAATATTTTCCGAATAGATTAACATTAAGATCAAGGAGACTTACTAGTACTAATTGCTCTGACTCCTCATTCATCCCTTGAGCACGACGGAAGGAGGGAGAGGGGAGCATCGAGCTGTTAGAGATTCAATGCTAGTCCGACGAACCGAAAAGCAATCCATTCTCCGATGACGATGAAAATGGAGGCATAAGCGAATTTGTTCACCTAGAACAGCGTCCCTTTCTCCCCCTCCGTAAACCTCGGCGCATGTGTTGCCACCTTTCCTTTGACCGCCGCATGAACCTTACCTCTACTTGTTGGTCTATGATTAGTTTACCTTGTTTTAGAAGGAAAAGGTTTATGTGATTACTCCTATAAACATGTACTTAGTCTCTACGTTTTATTTATTAGAGAAGAGTAAATCACCATTTCAGTTTAGTTGTCATAGTTTCTTAGGAGTAGAAGTAAAGTGATTTAGCAATTTTTGGCGTGTGGATCCGTACACGCGTCACCCCGCCAATGGAGTTCTGCCGATGGCCGCAACGAAATTTATCTGTGTGAATTGCAATAGTAGTTAGCGTTGGTGTGGCTAACTACTATTATTGTATTATTTTAATAGCTGCTAAATTTTATTAATCACGGTGAAATTTTATTATTTTATTGTTTTTAATTGCCACGTAATACATTTAATAGTCAACTATGAGAGTTGACTGCCACGTCAGACAAAGTAAACGGAGTTGGACGGAGACTAACCAAACTTGAAATATTTAATTAATCTTAGTGACCATGAATGAAATTAAATATTTTTAGTGACTAAACATGAACAATTTTAGTAATCACAGTGACCAACCTTGTCATTTACCATTTTTTAACTGAATCGCTATTCGTCACCATAGAATTCAAATTTTATCGCCATAAAATGCAACAAATTGACATATTTACCCCTTAACTCAATTTCAATTCGAGATCCTAACAGAACAATCCCTAATCCCTCACCCCCAATCCAAATCCGTCGATCATCCTTTCCATCTTCTCTCGAGAGAGAGAAACCCTGATCCCGATTTCCCAATGCCATCTTCCACGATTCCGCAATCCAATGACTGAAACTAACAAGTCGATTGAATTATCTACAGAATGCTGGGAATCGATTATGAATTCCCTCGATCAGAATCAAAGCTTCGAGTCGCTCTCCCTCGTCTCCACCCAATTCTTGTCCATCACCAATCACCTCCGTCGTTCCCTCCCCATCTCTTACCAAACGTCTCTATATTTGTCCCTGCTTCTCCTTATCCACCCATTAATGCTAAGTCGTCTTCTCCAGATAGCATCGGTTGCTAATTAATAGGAGCCATTAATTAACTATATATATATATATATATATATATATATATATATATATATATGTGTGTGTGTGTGTGTGTGTGTGTGTGTGTGGTGCCTTCTACTGTACCCCGGGTGAAATCTGGGGTACCGCATACCTTGAGTATGAAAACGCTATCTAGACCTCGAATTAGCATGATTTTTTGGCATGATACTATGTCCTAACCCTTAATGAGTGAACCTTAGGTCCTAATGAAATGGTGATTTACTGGAATGAGTGCACCTCAAGACGCCGCACGGACTTCGGAAGTCTGATACCATTTGAGGTGCACTCATTCCTCAAGACGTCGCACAGACATAGACTTCCGAAGTCTGTGCTGCGTCTTGAGGTGCACTCATTCCTCAAGACCAACCTCTCTGCATACGCATGCCAACTGGTTTTGCCCTGCCTTGGGCTCATCAGGGAGACGGCAATAGCCTCCGACCAGTTGTGCCTTCTCTTGCAACGAACCTCTTCATAGCCACATCCTGACTCGGCCAGAAACGATGCACAGGAAGACAACGCCTTATCGCTAATGTCGCCCCCTTTACCCCTTTTGTGGCAAGACAACCAGATGGCAGCGTTCTTCAGATGATCAACACGGTCACGATATTTTGGGTCGTGAGATATCTCTATCTCGAGCATGATTTTAACCGAGTTTGGAGTATGATACTATACTCTAACCTCTAATGGATAAACCCCAGGCTCCGGTTCTCTAAACTCAAATCCCAAGTTCAATTTAATGGAAAATTTAAATTGACCGTTGAGATTGGTCGAAGCTCAACAAAGTACATCTAACGGCTAGATCATGTGGAGTATATTATACTCCTTGAGTATACCAGTCTTTACCATATATATAGTTCAATCAATTCAAGAATCATGAAGGGGAGCCATACGACCTTTTGCTATTTCTAGGTTGTCATTTTGAATGTCATCTCCAGTTCTCCATTATTGATTGAAAAGCAGCTCGGACTGGTCGGTACCTTTGAGTTTTTTTTTTTTTTACGAGTGATAGAGAAAACAAAGATAGTGGCGAAGGAATTAAGGGAACTAAAGTAAATATAATTTAATTAGGACAACTAATAAAAAATTAGTTGTTACTCGTTGTCCTAATTAAGTTAATTTTAAAGTAATGCCTTCATTTATTTGTAGTTTAAACACTTAAAATCAAAACAAATTTATAAATTACCTGAAATAAAAAAAGTTAATAATGTAGCTTTTTGAACATCCACCCTTTTCTCCGCCAGCTGCCCGTCTTCCCACAGCGCCGGACGGGTTGAATACCCATTGCCGGCGAGCTAGTACAGGTCAGGGAACGTCGGTGCAAGAAAGGCAATTTGTGTGATGATTTGAGTTTCAATGGATAAGGCCAAAGGATAGTTTGAGATTACTATATAAATGAAGTAGGTTTTGGGATTAGAGATGAATAATCTAGAGAGTAACCAAAAAGAAGTAATAGGGTGTAAAACTGTAAATTCACTCAATGATTCTTACTCTGTTTCCCCATAGCAGCCCACCAAACCAAAAGCATAGAAGAAGAAAAACGAGATGAGTTCAGGTGACTAAGGGATACCCTTAGTCACTTTGCCTAAGCCAATCAGGATTTAGTACATTTTAAATTAATATTTACAGTTTTAGTTATTAGGGGTAAGATAGTAACTCCGTCCTTTCCTTTTTTACAATAATTTCAATTAGTATTTATTCTTCCTCTGATCGCGCATCCATCGACGGAGAATTTCTTCCGTCCACTCACGGCCATTATTTGCATCCCGGCGGCCTTTCCATTTGCGCCGATAGGGGATGGCAGCGGCGGAAAGAAAATCAGAAAGGTCAGACGAGAAAAAAAAAAAAAAATAGAAATGGTGTTGACCGGCAGAGAAAATTCCGCCTTCACTGCCACTATAAGTTCCGCATTGAGAGCCTCCATTCCGAGAGAGAGAGAGAGAGAGAGATCATTGTTGTTAATTCTAGATAGAGATAGGGGATTTGTATTTTTGGTAGTGGTAGTTTATAGTGTTAAGTACTTTTATGGTTTGTATGTAGTTAGTAGTGTTGATAGTTTTTTTAAAGTGTGGTTTGTAACTTTATATATAAAGAATAAGTTATGTTGGTTGTATTTTATAATGTTAGTTATTTTATATACAATGTTAGTCTGATTTGTATACTTTTATGATTTGATTTGTATATTTTGTATTATATTTTTTTATAGTTAGTAGTGTTAGTGTTTTTTATGGTGTTGTTTGTAACTTTGTATACTTTATAATATTTATTAATCTGGTTTGTAATTTTTGTAGAGTTGATTCAAAAATATTATTATTTATAATAAAAAGGTGAAAACAACATTAATAACCATGAAATGTAAGTTTGCTGTTTATAGGGATTACGAAGAAGTTTGCTCGTTATGTGGTTTGTATGCTTTTCGTTGAAATTTGTATACTTAATAATCTGGTTTGCATACTTGTGATATGGTATGTATTCTTTCTTATGTGGTTTGTATACTTTTCTACCATTATTTGTACTTCGTAATATAGTTACTATACTTTGTGATCTTGTTTTTATATATGTACTTATAGTTTGTATGTATTGAGATACAGCATAATTTGCAATTAAGTTTGCTTAGTATGTAGTTTTGGTTTGTATTCTTTCTAATGTAATTTATATACTTTTTTGCGTTTTAGTTTATACACTTTGTAATGTTTTTTGGACTGCTTTGTGAACATTATTAGGTTAGTTTGTAATTTGATAAACTTGATGATCCTACTTTGTAAATTTGTATTTTTATAGCATTAATTTGTACTTTTTAAGAAAGGGAATTTCCTCCCTGTAACAAATAGAGCGAGACTTAAGTTTTTTTCCTTCTTTCTATGTAATGGCGAGAGGGCATGACGAAAGTGAACCGGGTCTCCGTCGAAACCAAAAAGAGAGATAGAACGAAGGCGGCAGCACGACGGCGAATCTAGCCACCGTTGCTATCACCGGAATCGAGTGAGGGATAAAGACGTTTTTCTTCTTCTTTTTAACGAGAGAGATGGTGTTTGTGTCTAGAATGTTCTAGGCGGTTATGGGGCTCCGATCTGGACTCCCTCGTTCGATCTCCTCGGGAGTGGAAGAACCTGTAAGGCGGGGGTGGCCCCCGCGATCTACGCTCCGACGCCCAAGTTAGTACGATATAGGATGAGGTTTATGATATGTAGAGAGAGAGAGAGTTTAGAGAGAGACCTTAGGGTAAGAGTGTGGGAAGGGAAGAAGAGGATCCTTAGTTTGGAGGGTTAGGCCTCCTTATATAGGGTTTGGACTTCCTTGAGTGGGCTTGGGCCCAGGACGCCTTGCGGTGGGCTTGGGCCCGTTTATAGTCGTGTTAGGCATATTAATCCATATCCCAACAATTGCCCCTTTGCTTCTTGTATTCTGTAAGAATGGAAGGAGTAACATATATAATGCCTTAGTCGTGTATTAATTTGCCTTACTTGCGAATCCGTATGATGCGGTTTGCCCCTTGTGCGAGTTGCGTGATCATTTCTTCTGCCCCTTGCTTATCTTTCGATGTCTTGAACTAAAGCTCTCAAGTCGTTAAAAGTTCCTTCGCTAGTCCATTGTTGTTAGCGCTAGTAGACCATAATTGCGACCTAGGTAGGGTGGCCCCCACGGCTTGTGAGTTTTAACTCAAGACGCTCTGTCTTAGTGTTTCTTCGGCTTACTGGGGTGTGCTTCTCCTTCGCTTCCTGGGAAGCGCATTGTTCCTTCGCTTCCTGGGAAGTGCATTAGTCATTGGCTTTCTGGGAAGCGCTTAAGTCTCTGACTTCCTAGGAGGCGCATTGCTTCTTCGCTTCCTGGGAAGCGCATCTCTCCTTTGGCTTTCTGGGAAGCGCATTGCTCCTTCGCTTCCTGAGAAGCGCATCGCTCCTTCGCTTCCTGGGAAGCGCATCGCTCCTTCGGCTTCCTGGGAAGCGTATCGCTCCTTTGGCTTCTTTGGAAGCGCATTGCTCCTTGGCTTCATGGGAAGCGCATCACTCCTTCGCTTCCTGAGAAGCGCATTGCTCCCTCGGCTTCCTGGGAAGCGCATCGTTCTTCGGCTTCCTGGGAAGCGTATCGCTCCTTTGGCTTCTTTGGAAGCGCATTGCTCATTGGCTTCCTGGGAAGCGCATCGCTCCTTCGCTTCCTGGGAAGCGCATTGCTCCCTCGGCGGCTTTCTGAGAAGCGCATTGCTCCTTCGCTTCTTGGGAAGCGCATCGCTCCTTCGCTTCCTGGGAAGCGCATCGCTCCACGGCTTCCTGAGAAGCGCATTGCTCCCTCGGCTTCCTGAGAGGCGCATCGCTCCATCCGTTTCCTGGGAAGCGTCGCTCCTCGGCTTCCTAGGAAGCGCATCGCTCCTTCGCTTCCTGGGAAGTGCATTGCTCCCTCGGCTTCCTGAGAAGCGCTTTGCTCCTTCGCTTTTTGGGAAGCGCATCACTCCACGGCTTCCAGAGAAGCGCATCGCTCCTCGGCTTTCTGGGAAGCGCATCGCTCCTTCGCTTCCTGAGAAGCGCATTGCTCCCTCGGCTTCCTGGGAAGCATTCCTTAGAGGAGAATTGCTCAAAGGCGGGAAGCATTCCAAAGAGTGAACATTGCTCGGAGGCGGGAAAGCATTCCAAAGAGGGAATATCGCTCGGAGGCGGGAAGCATTCCTCGGGGGGAGCCTCGCTTTGAGGCGGTTTACCAGCCTTGCTCAGAGGCGGAAGACATTAATCAATCCCCGAAGGGTGCATCGCTTGGAGGCGGTATTTTAGCCTTGCCCAGAGGCGGAAGGCATGAATCAATCCCCAAAGGGTGCATCGCTCGGAGGCGGTATTTTAGCCTTGCTCGGAGGCGGAAGGCATGAATCAATCCCCGAAGGGTGCATCGCTCGGAGGCGGTATTTTAGCCTTGCCTGGAGGCGGAAGGCATGAATCAATCCCTCAAGGGTGCATCGCTCGGAGACGGGAAGCATTCCCGAGAGGAAGCATCGCTCGGAGGCGGTAAGCATTCTCCGGAGAGAGCATCGCTCGGAGGCGGGAATCTTTGAGCCTAGCCCGGAGGCATGAGGCGTGATTCTTCGAGTATCCGAGAAAGATGCAAGTGGCTAGAGCCCAATATATTTAAAGTGTAAATATAGCATAAAGAGCGCCTAGCATAATAATAATGAACCGCGTTGCATAAGATATATCTCTGTAAAATTGACTTAGCTTGAAAGAAGCTGGAGAACTCTGAACGGTTAAGTATTGGCTGCTGCATTATTGATCAACAATGCGTCCTTGTGGTGTACTGGTTAGCTTGTTTGCCCCTCAAAGGGAGGTCGGCGGTTTGAAGCTCCCAGGAGGCGGTCTCTTATTTTTTAATAATGAGTGCGTTTGATGCAAGCAATGGACCGTGTAGCGCGTTGTGGGCTGAACTCGTTGGCCGCCTAGGCGAGCCGGGCTTCAGCGGACTTGTAGTGATGCCGAGGCGGTTCCAGAGTATATGAGCGTGTTGGGTCGTCGAACGGCCCAAATTTGAGGCGTGATGGGCCCAGGCGTTTCTGTGGCTGAGGCTGGTTGATTGGCGAGGCGGGACGCGGATGGTTGAAGGCTCGCGTTGAAGGTTGGACGCGAAGGAGGCGGAGCGGTCAGAATGTTTGACTGGCTAGGTGGGCCGGATGTGGATGGTGGGCTTGATAGGTGGAGACAGGCTTCTGCTTGGTGGACTTCGCGTGCCGGTGGCCCAAAGTTCAGCAGCCGCCATAGACACTGATATAGCCGCTTTTGGGCACTTTTCTTCAAAGCTTTCCTCCTTCCCGTGCTAATCAAAATCGACTAAGTGCTTCCAACCGGCGAGCGTCTTTTTGCCGCTTATTTTCTGGGCTTCTTGAGAAAAGATAGTAGAGGAGGCAGAAGGTCGGTGGATAAATGTCGGGCGTCGTAAGATGTAAACCAATGTGTACTTGTAGCATATTGGGTGGTTTTCTTCCTTTCAGGAGGTAGAATGGAGGTTCGAGTCCTGGTTCAAGCGGTTCTCATTTCTTTTTAATTGAGTCCGGATTGAGCTGACGGAAGCTGGGTCAAGCGGCTGATGGAGGACCGTGCTTGCCTTTCCGAAGCGGCCCACGGGCCTTGGCAGTCAGGCAGTGGCAGACGATCTTGGGCTTTGCTGTGGTACGCGGGCTTGAATTGTGGCCGCCCAGGATGGACGTTGGATGCGGCTCTGTGGTGGGCTACTTTAAATTTGGCGCGTGGCAGTATTTGAAACAAAACATTCTTGTTGTCTATTGGTGTGCTGCTGGAATAGTTGATTGTTGTTAATGTGGGCGCGCGTTCGAACTTGCGTATAGGCGCTTTTTCCAAATATTTTTGCTGAGGCGGTCTTCAAATATCTGGACAGCAGCGGGCCGCCGAGGTCCTTCTTGTTGGAGCATGCTGCTCTATGCGAGCTGGGCATGGTTGGCCTGGCAGGCGATGTGGCCCACAAGACTGGAGGCGGGCCTATCTTGAGGTGGCGTGAGTTGGAGTTGGACCGCGAGCTGGAAAGTGGAAACGAGCGCTCCTTGAAAAGTAGACTATTGAAGTCATTGGCCACGTTCTTCTTCAGCTTCCATCAATATTTTTGTTGCGACTTCTCTTGCGTCGAGACTGCTTTGCCCCTACTATTGAGCAGCCGCCAACCGCCCATTTTAATTCTTCGTTATCATCGTTTATGCTTGTCATTTCCTGGACGCACACCGCTTCCGCTTTCTTCTTCGTTTTGTCGATCAGACTTCTTTATCCTAGATATTGGCCACCTTTGATTCTCCAAGCATAAGAGTTTTTCCTCTCTTTTTCCTTCGCTGGCGGCCTTCACTTCTGGCCGCGTTCGGCATTGGACGCTTCCGCTTTTGGTCTCTTCCAAGTTGTTTCCACTATGCTTCTTTAGCCCGCGGTCTTGAATCCAATGCAGTTTCTTAATCGCCTTTTGACTGGGATATGCTGGCGGCATCTTCGATCCCAGTATGTTTTTTCTTCCCATCTTGTCTCCCTTTCCTTCACTGTTAGGCGTCCTTCTTCTTACGCGTTGCACAGCCTGTCATCCACTTGCACAAAGTTGTCTCGAAAACTCTGCCTGCTTCGAAAACTCTGCCGGCCTACTTTCTTTTGACAAAGATAGACTTTGACCCTGAGATAACTTTCCCCTGTTTCTCGTTTTGTGAGAGGAGACATGATGATGTTGACTGCTCCGCTTGAGCACCGGCGCCGAGTTCCTCTTTTGTTGTTGGCGACAAGTGGGTACGGGGAGCTCCGGCGTCGAATCTTCCCGTTGATTTATAGATGGAAACTTTCCAGCCTTAGTCGGCGGCGGCTAGCGATTTCTTCGTCATCGTTGGCGGTGGAAGGAGAGCCGATTGTGTTGGCAAAGATGAATGTCAAGTCGATCCCTGGAAGTTTGGGCGGATTGCGCCGAAAATCCCCAAATGTCCCATTTTCTCATTGCGAACATGCTTCTTTCCTTTTTGCATTCTAGCATTTTCTTTATCTTTCTTCTTTCTCCAATAAGAAAAGGGAATCTTCTCTTTCTTTGCTCGCCATCGCTGCCTGTACTTGGCTCGTCGGTGAATTTACAGAAGGAGGAGTGTGATGCTGGCAGTGGGTTGTATTGCGGCTGCTGCTTGTAGAGAGAGAGGAGAGCGCCTCCTCTGTGAGTATTTCCTCCAGCTCCTCCCTCCTTTGGAGATCGAATGATAGAGTTACAGATCAAGTGCCCCACGGTGGGCGCCAAATTGTTATGGTGGCTGCCAGAACCAAGCGGGGAGAGAGGGGACGAAAATGACATCGCCGGAGAGGCTGAGAGAGGAAGGACAAAGGCGGTGGTGGATTTTGTTGCCGGTCGCCGGAAATATAAGAGAAACAGAGAAGAAGGGGTTTTCCTGGAGAGAGAATTGTCGGAGAAAAATGTTAATGAAAATTAAAATAGAAAATGTTTCTTCAAATACCAATACTACCCTTCTGTGTTTTAAATAAATAAAGGTTATTAATTGACCATTAGATCTAACCATCACTTAAAGAGCACGATCCAATGGCTAAGAGGGGCTTAATCAGATGGCTAAGAAAAATATGTGGCATAATATTATTTGGTTCTGCTTCATCAAAATCTGACGACAGACTGCTCCCAAGGAATTCCCCACACACCATGTAATTTTGGATTGAGGTGAGGAAGGGAGGCCGGCTTGCAGAATTTTGAGCGGCGGCGGATTTGGATGGGAGGGTGTGAGGAATGGATTAGGGATTGTTTGGTTAGGGTTTAGAATTGAAATTGGGTTGAAGAGTAAATATGTAAATTGCTTGTTGAATTTTAGCGCAATAAATAAAGATTCAGTTTTTTAATCATTGCTTTTTATCCGGATAGTACCATTTATTTCTTCAACCGGTTCTTGAATTTTAGTTATTGAAGAACACGCAGTCCTCAATATTTTCTCATCATTCGTTCTCATGCTTTAACTTTTCTTTTTTCTCATCCCTCGTTCTTTTAGATTTTGCCACTCAATGTAGTCCAAACCAATAATATCACCAGCGGAGAACAACCAAGGCCCACAGGCCACAGTGCATATTCGTCCAGGCCCCGAAACCCCCACCCACCTGAATGACCGAAAAAGCCCACCTGAACTGAATCCCTTTCTTCTTGCATCGCATCTAATTCTTCCTCAGCTGCGCCTGCGGTGGCACCAACACCTGTAAGTTCTCTTCTCTCTCTTCCTCTCCTCTCAACACCTAGTCCTCCAACTTCCATTTTAACGCTCTAACCATTCCATTGTGCGTTTCAGGCATCGAAAAACCAGAGCAGAGCTAGAGATGTGGTTCAAGCTTATGGGGTATTGTGATCGGCAAGGTGGTGTGCTGTGAGTATGTGATGCAGTGCGATTAAGTAAGGGAAGCTCAATGTTGCAGAATCAGACAGCAACCCACGCAAAGCAAGTAATAGCTAAGGTATGAAAAATGTCCTGAATCATTTTGTATTTGTAGTTGCTTTAAAATATGTATGTAACTTGGCAATGTAGTGAAGTTGAAAAAAATGAAATTTGCATAGCCATATATATATATAGATGTAAATCCGTGTACAAGTGTAATCTGCATATCTTACAATTTCACAGTAGGTAGTTTCACCAATCTCATTTTACTACAACAACAAAGGTGTATTATTGGTCTTCGTTAAAAAAGAAAAATAACCATTCTTGATAATCCATGTAAGAAGAAGAAGAAAAGTGAAAAGTGAAATAGACCATCAGCAGTTGTAGCCTCCTTGATTAGACTGTATAATGTGGGTTGACTTCAACGTCCAATCCCTTCAACTTCACAACTGACTCCACTTTGCCCTTGAGTGTGTGCAGCTCTCTCAGCCTGACCAAAAAAGTTAACGTGTGATTCAAGATTCAAAGTGAGGGTTAAGAAGGAAGAGGAAAAATTCAAAGTAGCTACCTGGCAAGCTCAGCGCGCCTCTTGGCTTCTTCAGCAACGATGCTGATTTCCCTGAAGGTGCTCTTGTCGTGAATTGGCTTCGACTCTGCTGATTGCAAGCCGTGCAGTGTTCTCTGCTCAGTCGCCCATGCCGCTTCCCTAGCTTCCCTTCCAAAGTCCTTTTGTGTAGTCAATGCAGTCTGAAAGGAACACGTTCAAGAAGTTTAGTTTTGCTTGCATCACCATTTGTTGAAGCTAAGCTAAGCTAATTTGCATAACTGTGTGCCATTTGCAGAATTTTTGGTTGCTAATAGACAGACAAGTGTTACCCTTTGGTTATAGACAAGTCCCCAAGCTCTGCCGCTCAAGCAATATCGGACGCCAAACTTGATTGGATCAAGAAGCATGTAAGTCACAATGTTGTAAACCCAAATGACGGCGGTCCATTTCCAGCCTATGCTATGAATTCCAGCGAATCCCCAGTTTGCTAGCGCTGATATGACCGTCGCTATCTGAAAACACCAGCAACAAGTCACTTAACCAGTTCATCCGAGTAACTCGAATTTATTTAATTATTAAGAAATGTCCAAAAATACTGAATCTTGTACCATTTCTTTACTGTGACTGACTATTGCAAAAGAGATACTTACCAACTGAGCAATGATGAAGGCGATGACCAAAAGCATACCAGGCCTTTCAACAAAGGACCAGCTTCTGGATCGAGTCACGAAGATCAGCGCCTGGCTGATTGTGCTGACTTGAAGGTAAACAGCCGATGCTAGCTTCTTATTAAGCAAATCAACCACATCCGGGTCTGACGTGTTGTAGTGACTCTTTCTCAAGCTTGGTACATGGAAATGCTCCTGCGTGCAGAAATTGGGAAGCAAGTTAATTTTGACAACATTGAAGAAACCAAAGAGTTGGCTGTGATGAAGCTGTCTGTCATTTCTGTGTACCGAGAAGAAGTTGGTTTCATAAACTGCCCAGAAGAAGATGACAGTCATAATGGCTAGGTATCCTCCTAATACGATACCAGTCGCAAAGATCTCACCCAGCCTCCAGCTATCTGGTACTGGTGATGGCTTCACTCTGTCTTTGGAAATTGTCATTATAGTGCCTGCAATTGTGCCAATGGAAGCATCAAATTTCTTTGTTATTGAGGCGAACCAGATATTTTTTTCTGACACGGGTCGAACTAGATCTTAATATATTATCAACACATTTTATGATCAAGAGATTTCACTCTAAAATCTCGATACTTCCAATGTTAGCAGTTGATATAAACACGATATATGATCGTGTATGTGGAGACTTGAGCTATCAAGAAGCAACTTTCTTTTGATCAGGTGTAAGATTGCCACATTTGTATGTCTCTTCTTTCCCTACAATTCGAGTTGTCATTAGAACAAGTTTGTGATGTGATTACCGTCATTGAGGATGGCGATGATGAGGACCATGAAGGGAGGGAAATCAAATTCCCAGAAGCAAGTGAGCAACATGAATCCCATCTGTTTGAATGCATGAACTCATCAATTTGACAAGAGGTAAGCATGCAACAAACTTATTTAGGTAACACTGTTGGAGTGGGAAACTTACAACTATACGGATAGTGATGGATACTGCATATATCTGCAGGATAAGAGGAGGCAATAAGCAAAGATATGAACATTGTTCTGTTTCGGATCATCCAAATGGGGGGAAAAGAAATTATCTCTCACTGTGTAATTCTTCATCCTCTGGAAGATTGCACGGCTGGTCAAGACAGCACTAATGATCACACTCAACCCTGGCTCGGTGAGCACAATATCAGAGGCACCACGAGCCGCATCAGTTGAATCAGCCACGGCAATTCCAATGTCTGCAATCTTCAGTGCTGGTGCATCATTCACTCCATCACCAGTCATCCCAACAATATGCTTCTTGGCTTGCAGTTTCTTCACAATCTCATACTTGTGTTCTGCAACACGGGAATAAAAGATTAGTAATGACTAAGCATGGTAGTAAAATATCTACAGTTGTGGTCAGAAGAACGGTTTATGTGTCAGAGTCCCATAAGTGAATCCTTTTGATGGATTGGAATCACTTACCAGGGAAGACACCAGCAAACCCATCAGCATTTTCAATGAGCTCATCAACTGGTAGAGACTCAAACCCTGTCCCTTTGCTCTCTCCAAGCAAAGATGATGAAGGATACATGTTGGTTCCCATGCCAAGCCGCCTCCCAGTCTCCTTTGCAATGGCCAACTGATCACCAGTGATCATCTTGACACCAACACCAAGATCAAGAGCTCTTCTAATGGTCTCAGCACTATCATGTCGCGGAGGATCGAAGAGTGGTAGCAGGCCAACAAACTCCCATGGTCCACCTGAACTTTCCTTGTGATTGTCAGGAACTTCCTGTCGGGCAATCCCAAGTGATCGTAGTCCACGCTCAGCAAACTTGTCGATGATTCCATGTACCCTATTGGCAATTTCTGCTTTGTTGTATGCCAAATTAAGAATCTGGAGCAAATGGATGGAGAATTCTAAATGAGTATCTGAACAGTCAAAATCGTTATTTAGATCATAAATCCTTATTCACTTGGTGAGTTTTACCTGCTCTGGGGCGCCTTTGCTGACTCGATGCATCTTGCCGGAACTGTCTAGGTAAGTCAGTGCTGTCCTCTTGTCAGTTGGATTGAACGGCAGGAAATGAACTTCTGTAACCCCAGCTCGTGCCTTGCGAAGCAAGCAACATGAATTTGTCAAAACAGAATGGCATATAACAGTTCTTATGCTGGTTAGTTTTCTTATTAAAATTTTTACCTCTTTTGGATCAGCTAGCATGGCAACAATGGCCGCGTCAATAGCATCTTGATTCTCCAACCTCGAAGCTCTGGCAGCCATCAGAACAACATCATCTTTCTGAACGCTCTTTGCAAAGACCTGTATTGAAACTCAGCAGTAAGTTCATTGAGTACTAGACACTCGGATTTCAAATGAGTAATAGTACACAGTTCGAATGCACCGCAAGCAATTGAGGTACCTCTATCATACTCTTGTCCACTGTGAGTTTGTTAAGAGTGAGAGTGCCTGTTTTATCACTACACAAGACATCCATTCCTGCCATTTCCTCAATAGCTGTCATCCTCTTAGTGATGGCACCCTGCAGTTCAAAATTTCAGGCATCCATCATCAATTTACTTCCTTACCAAGTTTCTGTTACAGGATGGGGAATATTTTGGTTTCCCAGATCTTCCATACCTGCTGAGATAAGCGATGAGAACCAATGGCCATGGTGACTGAAAGAACTGTAGGCATGGCAATGGGGATGCCACCAATGAGTAAAACCAAAAGGTTGTCTATCCCAGTACGGTAACTTCTTTGTTGGAAGCCGTATATAGCTATGATCTCGATTAACATCCCAGCAGCAATTGAACAGATGCAGAAGTTCCCAATTGAAGTTAAGACCTAAACAATCAAAACACCCCAAAAAGAAGTCTCAAGTGAACAGACTAGTTCAAATAGTATGGCTCCCATTTGATCAAGTTAATGATGATAAAAGTTGAGACCTTTTGGAAATGGCCGACATGGGTTGTGCTCTCGACGAGATGAGCTGCCTTGCCAAAGAAGGTGTGGACTCCAGTGGCTATGACGATTGCTTCGAGCTCACCTTGCTTGCATGTTGAGCCAGAGTATATCACACCACCAGGGCCTCTAGTTACTGGAAGCGACTCTCCTGTAAGAGCAGACTGGAATAAAAGGAAGAAACTTTACTTTTAGCCCATCTCAGATTCCCTTCAAGAGGGTAACAAAATAGTCAAAAACTTCCAGTGCAAGAAAGCCAGAGTAGGTAAGATCAGCTTTGGTTCATCTTTACTATACTAGGAATTGGGTTACACTCATATGTTGGTAAGAACAAAAACCATTTCTTTCAATTTTACCTGATCAATTTTGAGAGGATCTCCTTCAAGAAGTCTAGCATCAGCAGGAATGATATCACCTAGCTTGATGCTAATGATATCTCCAGGAACCAATTCAGCTGCATCTTCCTCATTCCACTTCCCATCGCGTAAAATCTGCCCGATTGAGAAACATACAAGAGAAGTTCTCAGTAACAACAAAAGGAAAGAAAGCTATCAATGAATCTTGAAGTAAACCAGCAGCAATGAATCTTGAAGTAAACCAGCAGCCAACCTTGGCCTTCGGTGCTAAGCGAGCCATGAGAGCAGCGGCGGCATTTCCAGCATTGTTCTCTTCTATGAAACTGATGGTTGAATTGATGATTAGCAGCAGAATGATCCCAACAAAATCATGGTAATCTGTAGGTTTGTCCTGCAACACATTTCAGTTGGGACAGTTTTTTGAATAAACTCAATTAGCCATGAGTTCATACAACGAAATGTTGGAAGGTAAGATGTTAACTTAAACTTACATCACCATGTGCAAGAGCAATGGCCATGATAGCAGCTGCTTCCATAACCCATGAGAGTGGATTCCACATGAAGGACAAAAACTTGAGGACTTTGCTTTCCTGTAAACCCCATATCATAGAGTACAGATTGAACCTTGAGACGATAATCAAGAGATGAAGATGGATATAATGATTAAAGGAGAAATATGGGTTAAGAGACATGTTTTTCTTCGAGTTTGTTGTAACCAAAGACTTGCAGCCTTTGCTGAACTTCATCGCCAGTCAGTCCATCTTTGGTGCAATTCAACTTCTCGAAAACTTCTTTAACTGGGATGTTCTCCTGCCATTGGAGGCAACCTCGAAGGGTCAGAACAACTCTCAAAATATCCTGAACTTGATGTACTAATACTGATATAGTACTAGTCATTAAAAGACTTTGAGTTACAAACAGAAAGCCACAGTGTATCAGTAAAATTCTTTATCATAAGAGGTTAGTCCTTACCAGATCTACAGTTTCCTTGTTGATAGCTTCCAGGGAAATCTCCTTCTGATCCATGGTTATTCGTCCCGCCTTTCAATCACAGTCTACAATTGAAGGCAACAAGACAAGTTATTGAAGAGATTACTGATTAGACTAAAAAAAAAAAGCAGAATTATTTCAAACACTTTGTGATGAACCAAACATGGCTGTGCAGAGCAGTTAACATATTGGATCTCCTCTCAATAACCAGAAGCCTTGGAATGGGAATTTTTATAGAAACCCATTATCGAACTTCACCTTATTCATTAACTAGCATCACCATTGTCCATAAAGATCAAAGCTTTCATATTTACCTATAACATATAAGGCTTGAAAAGAACCCAGAATTCTTTCAAACCCTTTCTTCATAAACACAACATGCATTATTTGCACAACAGAACATTGGAACCTCCTCCTCCTCCCAACACCAAAAGCTAGTTATGGCAACAATGGAAGAAACCCATATCACAGCTTCCGTGAAGTCGATAAAGATCAAAACTTTTCATATGAATACAGGAGACATGAAATGATCATATACAACACAGACAGAAGCACGTAGAACTGGGAACACACATCTATGCAAAAAGAAGACTGCAGGACAAAGAAATGCACCTGATCATTCACACAGGTGCAAAGAAGGCGGGGGAGAAGGAAGAAGAGTGTTGTCCTGTTGAAGAAGGGAATAGAAAGGAATATATTTGTATATATACATGTATGGGGAGGACTAGGGAGCATAGAAAGAGCTGGAATTTGCCAGTGGGGAAGGGATATAAACTATGCAAACAGAAAGACCAAAAAAGAGGCAGGGAACCTGGAAATAGAACAGATATATGGACAGCAGCAAGTTTGGAGTTTCTTCAGATACTCCGTCTCCAAAGAAGGAAAGCTAATCATTGGAGGAATTGTTTGCCTCTTGGGCTCTAAGCTGTCGTACGGAACAAGGTGTTTAGGCGCCTCTTTTTCAGTCTGGTTAGCTGAGTTTTCAAATGCCTTCTTTGTTAGACTGCTAAGAAAGCTTATTAATTCATAACGTACCATCACAGCATTGTTGGACCTAGAGATCAACTTGTTGAGTGTTGTGAGGTTTGGATATTAACTTCTGTTAATTCCTTCCTTGTGTTGCCCTGCTTCAGCCGTACATCGGTTCCTTCAGATTCCATGGCTGCAATGCAAGGTTATTCTTCTCTCAGTTAATTTTATTTTTTCTATGAACATTGTACTGATGGTATCCTAGATTGGCGCTTACCGTTCATAGTGATGATCACCCGCCTCCCCAGCTCAGTTTGATTAAATTCGAGAACAACAAATTAAAATCAATAATGGTTAGTTCAACTTCCAGGTCAAAATGATTTAAATACAAATTGTTTGTTGAAAATGTGTTATTATTATACGGGAATAACATAAGATTTGTTAATTGTTATGTAGTTTTGTCCAATGGCTCGAGTTATAACTTTTAGAGTTGATCTGGTGGTAATTTAAGGATGACAACATTCATCTAGGGGTGGGATTCGGTCGGTAAACAATTTACCGTTTACCAAATTTACCGGTTTCGGTATACCGAAGTTGGCCAAACTGGTTACCGATTACCGATACCGGTTTGTAAACGGTTTACCGATTACCGAATTACCGGTAAACGGTTACAAATCGGTATTACCGAAATACCGTGAGAAGCGATTTCGGGCTGTTTTTCGGTCGGTTTACCGAACCGAATTTCTGGAAGTGGGGTAATGTTGTAATATTTTGATTTTTTTTTAGTTTTTTTCATCATTTTTGTAATTAATAATTTATTATTAACTCTTATTTACAATATTTTTTAGGCCATACTTACATTCATGTATGTCATATTTTATATTTGTGAATAATGATGTATATGTTATATGTTAATGCCTTAATTGATCCGGTATCGGTATTACCGAATTACCGTCGGTAAATACCGACCCTGTGTTCGATAAATTGGATCGTCGCCACGCGCAACCGAATACCGATACCGACGGTAACCGGTTTACCATTTACCGACGGTTACCGGTTCGGTAAAACGGTAAACCGGTTACCGGGTTACCGTTTGTCAGCCCTATTCATCATTAAAGTGAGAATGAATTTTGGGACCAATAATCATCTAAAAATCAAGACCAATTAGTTCTTGATATGGTACTAATTAGAGCAATAATTAATCGTTGATTGATAACACAAGGTATGGTAGACTTTTTGCGAACTTCAAGTGGATGAAGTTAATTATTGTGTTAGGAAATGAAATAAGATTCATTATTAAAACTTTCCGAATAACTTGAATTATTGAGATTAGCATATTCTTGAAAATTATAATAGTGGTAGTGGTAAGTACTTTATTTTGTGACACGTAATTGATTTGTTGTGAGAAGTACAATAGTGGTAGTGGTAAGTACTTAACATTATTATATGACTCTGATATGATACTTGAAAACTTTTTGTTCCAAAAAAAATTAAAATGGATATCATTTTGTAGAACACATCCTGATCTTCTCAAAAATCATAGTGATAATATCATGATATGATAACGGTATGATGACATTATTTTTTTCTAAAAATAAGATTACATACTATCTTATTACTATCATATCAACATCATACCTACAAGAGCTTAGTCTCATAACCATGGTCCATTAAACAGTACCGTACCGACGGTTCAACCACAAAATACCAATATCGGAGGCTAAACCGATAGGCAGTATTTAACGGTACTAACGGTTGAACTACGGTTAAACCACGATCTCTGGTACGATTTCATGGAGCATGCTCATAACACTATCACTAGTCTTCAACTTGTAGCCCGTAAGTATCAAGTTCGAATCACTAAATATCATTTGACAATATAAACAATCCAATTTCACTCTTATAAAAACGAAAATTAAGTTTACAAGTTTTCCATTAGAACATGTGTTCGGTTGATTTGTATTATAAAACCAACTTTTGTTTATTTATAGGAAAGTATAATAAAAAGTATTCCCCAAAACTACATTGCCGCATCTAAACTAAAAATCCAATTTTAGAGCTTTCAACATATTACTAGATGGCGATGCCGCGACATGTTGCGAGGCTAAGATGGTCTATGCGCATGTATTATGAGGCCTACTATGGTATTTTGTTAGTATTATTAGCCTAAAATTGATATTTTCCTAACAGTTTTGTTAGTAATATTGACTTGACAATAGTATTTTCTATCACGAGTTTGAAAATTTTAATGTGATATGGATGGTGTCGTGTCGTGGTAATGGAAAGTAAACGACCTGTAAGATCTATTTATAAAGAGATTGACACAGATATAATTCGATTAGGTTGAATAATTAAATATATCTATCTAAAAACAGAATTACAATAATACATAAATTGTAAATATATTTACCTGCTAGATGGGTATGATTAGAACGCATCGGTGGTACATCTTCAAATGCAGTATCTCTGAAGCTTTCAAAAGGGAAGCGTTAGACTGGATTGTCGCGTACTAAATAATTGCATAAATTTTGACAAATTCCATAGCAGATTTAATGTGTAGTCGTAGATCGCATGGCGAGTAACGATTTCTAGACCGTGCAAGAATGAGTAACACGTCTGACATAATGTAAATGCGTCTTATTCCGATGGAATATTTGACCATCTCATAATATTTGGGTAAGATAAGACCTTCTATAATGTTTTCCTGTTGTTGAAACAAATTCACATTAGACTATAACAACAACAAACACATGCTTTGAAGATATACTTGAAGGGAACCACCTCTTTGTCGACCCATATTGTATAAAGTGCAGGTGAACCAGGAACGTCTCTGGTGATCCATTGGTGAATGAGTCGGACAACCAATGGTCGCTCAATGATACCTCCTGAAAGTTCTCTGATGGTCATTGAGGAATTTATTGGGTCTACAAAAAACATGGCTCTTAGAATATATGTCATGTAAGACATTGATCGGTTAAAGATATGCGCTAATATTGAACATTTTTTCAAATGAATACGTATAAAATAAATTTGACCGTAATGAAAATCCCAACACATGAAATAAATAACCTTCGAGTGAGCTCGGCAAAATATAATTCATCGACATAATGGAACACCACCTAACAAAAATAACAGACTCTATGATCAACCATCGTATTGATACTATAAACAGATATGTATCACCGATCAGAACAATACAAAACAAAGTTACTCAATACCTTGTAAAAGCCGATTGACAGGTGACTGTAACGTGGATTAAAAATACAAAACAAATACTCAATTTCCACAGTGTGTTTGAAGTTGCGGGAACACGGAAGGAGGACCGAAGAGGGAAACTATACAATATTTGAACAGTCTCCGCGATGGTTTATGTTTGTAGGATAACTCTACCTCACGCGAGAAGCGGATCTAGTCATTGCCTATGAGAGTAGATTGAAATGGCAGAAGAGGAGATTATGAAGGGTGTCTCCTATTTGGTTTATATATATGACCCGTGAAAGGACGATTTACGGCAGGAAACTACTCATCTTCTAATTATATACGGTCTCAACATGGTTGCTCACGTACACTTCTTCACTATCCATAGCCTTCTCTTGATCCAATTTTTTCTCTTGGTCACCTTTCTCTGTGAATTTTTTTTTAACACCAATGATCAATTCACTTCACCAACCCAAAATCTCAAATTTTGAGTTTGTATGTAAATTAAACAGTCACTAAAAAATTCACTAAGAAAGAATCACAAAGAAGAAACTCACATGGCTTAGAAAAGTTCAAACCAACCACCGCTAACTGCTAGGCAATAAAACGGAGACGAGAGAGATCATGCGAAGTGAGTTTTGAATATCGCGATTGAGCAGAGCCAAGGACAGGAACGAAGTAAAAGAAAGCAAGAAAGAAGGAATACAAGAGCAATTTCACACTTCCTCTTTGTCTCTTCTATTAAATCAGCTGCTCTTTTGAAATTGAAGTGGAAAGAAGACGCTATAGATGGAGTTTGCTCACCAATATATATTCTTCTTTCTTCTTTGATGATATATACTATTTGTGTAAAGTCACCATCCCACAGTGACTACACCCTCACAACAAGTGACAAACATTAAAAACTACAATTATGACATTAGTACTGACAGGGACAATTCATGTCGCCATTATTCCATTGTACATACAATAAATGTTTAAGAGCTATTCACCATAGTAAAAAATCTCTATCATGATCAATATGTCCTACCAAAATGGACATTATATCATTGCTCATTGTGTCATACGACTATCAATAGTAAGTTGATAATGAGGTTAAAAATGAGAAGATAAAGCATACATAAAATTAATAAATCTGGTTCGATGGAGTTAGTATACGTTAAAGTATTTGTTTAAAAAAAATTGGTTAAATAATGATCAATGAACCAGTTAAATTGTAGTGGTTCATTTGGTTTTATGTTGAACTGTGAATAAACATTTGCTCTATCAAAAACAGTAAAAGGTTAACTGTACCGTTATTTTAAGTGATTGTGGTTCTACTGACTCAATTGTTGATCAAGTTCGATTCTTATACCAATGAAAAAATCTCTATATTTGGAAATAACAACAAAATTTACATACAATCCAAGGATTAAATAAAGGATGTGAACGAAATGCCCTCTCCCCACCCCTCGTCCAATTATTCTTATGTCCCTATAGTCGGTGTGTACTGTTGTTTTCCCATACATGCATGTGTTCGATACGAAATGACGTATGCTTGGGTCGTTCTTCTCTATTTTGTCTTCTTGTATTCAATATGAATATGAAAGTGGCGTACACTATGTTTAGGTCCCTATAGCCGGTGTGTACTGTTGTTTTCCCATACATGCATGTGCTATATATGAAAAGGACGTACACTATACTTGGGTCGCTCTTCTTTATTTTGTCTTCTTGTATTCAATACGAAAGAGACGTGCACTATGCTTGGGTCCTTATAGTCGGTGTGCACTATTGTTTTCCCGTACATCAATATGGAGCATAATAATTGACCACCGATGTTAACTTTCCGAAATAACCAACTTTGTTTTCTTTATCTACCCTTTCAGTTTTGTCCTTTTTCTTCTCATTATTTACTGGGCCAACATGTATTTAAATGATACATATGTGTATGATATTGACGTGATATCAAAATTTATACTAATATTAATATATACATGTATGATAACCATATGTATTTAAATGATTTATTTCATTTTATTATGTCCGATTTTATCGTGCAATCCTTCTTACAATGATATACGAAGTTTGGAAAATTAAACATAACCAACCAATTCATATTTGTTTTAGGATTTTAAAGCTGGATTGAAACTAAAGGCGTATACACCAATATAAAGCCATGTTATATATTTTTCTAATGTATAACAACGCTAACGATAAATCAATTTTATTTATTGTAACCGACAGTTAGCAGCAATGAGAGTTTATATTGAATGACTCAAATAATGCACTAACGTGTAATAAAGCCCAAGTTTTAACTTTACATAACTAATATTGTGATAGATTCTTAAATTAATATACAATAAAATACAACAAATAGCAACACTACAAACAGAAATCTAACTCCTCCAACGGAAATATAAGGGTGATTATTCCCTTTCTCCAAAACCATAATCCGCCTATGTAGACCACTGATAACCTGTTTCATAGATTCATCTAGGATGGGATCCACCCAATTGAAGAAGCCACACAAACCCAAATCCTACACATTATAGACAATGAACAAACAATTAGCGGAAGAATACAATATACCTATGTGCTCTGATATATATCGAAAAGGTAATGCGTGAGTACACCTACACCGTAATTACTACAACCGTAAAATCGACGCCCTGGATTGGCTGCAGTCCAAGAAGTCCGAAGGATTGCAGCGTCACCACATCGGCAAGTTGGTGGTGCCATATCCACCAGTGACAAGGACAATAATAGCAATACCAAGTAAGCATAAGCAAATAAGAAGAATGGAACGATAATACAGAAGAGGATACGTTAGATAGATAGAGAATTTATAGCTGGAGTGAGAAAACAGAAACAATATACACAAACTATAGTGACCCAAACATAGTATACGTCTCTTTCACATTGAGTACAAGCAGACAAAATAAAAAAGAGCTCACATAGAAGACATTAAATGTATTCAATAATACATGTACTGCACATAAACAATGCAAACCAACTAAATGGACGCAAACATAGTATACGTCTCTGTCGCATTTAGTACAATAATTAAATTCCCTTATTCAATTTAAACCCAAAAATTCTGTCACCTTAGTCCAACTTCAATGAAAGTCCCCAAATTTTGGGGATTGTCCATATTTTCTTCATTGTGGTTCCAATGCTACCATCCCCAAATTTGGGGATCTTCCTTTTTTTTAAGTTATTGTTTACTAAAAAATTTACTTATTATCAGCTTAATATAATTTGTTCAAATTAATTTTTGTATACTTTGCCATCATTTTTAGATACGAATCTTCCAATAGAAAGTTTTTAATTTTGATGCTGAATTTTTAAATATAGTGATAAATTATCATAAATAAATCCCTATTTAATCTCATATTAATTACATAAAACAATACCCTAATTAGACCCTCTAACTAATCCCATAATTAATTAGAAACTGATCATGTAATAAACTTATGCACGGAAATACTGGTTTAACGGGATACAAACTGTTACACAGGAGCGTGATACTACAAATAACAATTTGAGAGATTGGTTTCCCTACACATCAGGTAGAGAATATGCTAATGGGTTTAACAGGCAAGTCACATGTAATGATCCGTGAAGGGGCGATCCAGGTTCACACAACTCCACCTCCGCCGTGAATGTCTTGCCTTATGCCAATTTCATTATGTTGCATCTCCCCCTCCTTGTAAGTTTTAAAAATTCCATAACTGGTGTTTTTAGCAACGTAGTTGTCGGGCAAGGCTGGAATGTCAGGTCACATGAAAAAAGTCTCACCCCCACAAGTGACTATACTCCAATAGCTAATATGGATTGATTGAAAATGATCAAAAAATCAAACATGCTATTTTTATCAAGCTACGTACGTTAGTATAAAGCATAGTGTGCAAACCTTTCATGGTACTGCAATATGACATCTTGTTTTGGATCAAAATGTTCAATTTTCAACAGGCACCAATAGCGTTTCTGATGAAAAGAAGAAACAACAACGTTCATTTGTCACATAAAAATGGGATACATTATATACAAAATTTGTGTTCTGAATCATAAAATGCATAAAATATCATAGATTGCACACTATTAGTAAACAGTATGTTAAAGGACCAACTACAACCATACAATAAATATATTATGTGCATATATTGATATCTTGTTTATAATTATATACACCCACACCCTAAATAGACCATTTTCTATCAAATATTAAAGCCAACTTATTAATTCAGGTAAGGAGAACGCATCTAACCCTATATTGTGGTTCGCTGGAATTAAGAGAAGCAATCAGATCACTTAGCACGATTCGCTCTCGCAGTTTACCACGAAGGTATTTTATGCCTGATTGTTGAGCATCTGGATCCAACTTTATAGGCATGTGAACGTCGAAGAAACTGATATATATAGTCTTTTGTTCAGTTTCTAACAAGTGGATATGAAAGTGAAACAAAATGGAGAGCTTACCATTCTGTCATATCCTTATATTTGTAGGTATACGCGGCAAAAATAATACGACTTCTTGATGTACTGTGCAATCTATACTTTTTTGTACTTAATGGACAACAAGAAAGAGAAAAAGAGAAGGGCGTTAAAACAAAATCACTCCATATTGGAAATGATCGAATGTAAGATTGGCACCTGGATTAGACGTCACGCCAACACGCACCCTAGTGAATGTATATATAACTGGTCCAAGCCATTCGGTCCTTTCTGCTTCTTGGTGAATACTATAGTGTTGATCAGATAGCATGGGACGTAGGTCTTCAAACTCAGTGCCTTTAAAACCTTCATTAGGGAATTGATAAATTGGAAAATCTTTCCGCAAAACATTATTGTCAGGAATTTCAATAAATTGATATGCCGACACAATATGCAAACGTAAGTCTCCTGGGGCATATCGGTTCCTCTCTCTCGCAATAATAAGTGGAACATGTGATAATATATAAATACAGTTCATTGTTATCGAGCATTTGACTGCTTTAAAATGCTTGGCCATTGTAAGGCCTTCTACAGTGCCCCAATGCTACAAATACAAAACAATACAAATTAAACTTTACATCACATACCAAAACACCTGTGAAAAAAAATGAACATAAGAAAAAGTTCAAGATCCCGACGTGGAGCTACTGCCTCTAATTTGATGCAAGGATTCTTCAATTTGAGAAAAATTCACGTCAATAGCACCTCTGCAAAACACATGGACAAAAAAAATAAGAGCCAGCGTAATGAATTTCGGAGACCAGAATGACATAGATAAATAGGTAGGATTACAATACTGGGAACGGAAAACAGGCAACTATCATACAAATCCCTGTTGATTTCCCTGACAATCCTATCACCACCACGACAGAAAGAACTGATAACTTCAGTTACGAATTCAGGATTAGTAGCATCTTGGAGAGCCTGAACTTGGGAAAACTTATTGTCCAAAATGCCCTTCAACACAACAAGAACTTACAAAGATTGGAAAAACGAATAAATGATAGAACGAGACACTAAACCAAACAAAGACGCGTACCTCATTTACCATAGATTGCACAAAGCCTTTTAGCTCTCTCATGTAAGAAAACAATGACATTTTGGTGTTTCATATTCGCAAACGAAGTGTTTTTTTACTGCAAACAGACAGATGGGTTACTCTGAGATACAATTCAATGTCTCGAGCAAAATGTACATTATTATATAGCAATACGTAGATGAAATTGGTCATCCAAATAAAGATGAACGATTTGACATATTCGATAAGATACTTTAATCAAATAATTATAGCCATTATTTTTTTAACCCTAGTCTATATAGTCTTTCCGATGTCGATCATAGACTCACAGCGAACAGTAGCAGTACTTTTTACATTAGATGCCTGATAGCTTCCCCGACATACTTGTTTCTCTTTCTCCTTTATATCCTTTCCTCTGTTATTTCTTCTCCCCCCCCCCCCCCAAATAGATCATGGACCAGGAAACCGTATCGTACCGGTCGGTTGAACCGGTAAAACCGGAAACCGGACCAGATCCGATACGGTACAGATTGTGCAGCGAAATTATCGTACCGGCCGACATTCATAGTTGAACCGGCGTACCGTGAAATGCCGGACGGTTTTGATCCAACCGGCGGTCCTTCAAACCTAGGTAAAAGTTTGTCGTTTCATACAAAGAAGAAATTCTTTTTGGGTTGGGCAAAGGCGCATCGCGAGGCACTCTCCACTCTTCAATCTCGCGCCCTCTTCATTTCCCCCTGCAGCTGGAGATCCGATCAGAGAAGAGAAGGTTGCCTTCGTTTGTATTTCCCAGCCGAGCTTGAGAACGAGAAGGCCACGTTGTTCGTCGTTCTTCTTTTCCAACCAAACCCGAGAACGAGAAGGTCGACTTCGTCCTTCATCTTCTCTCGGGCCTTCCGATCCGATCCGAGAACGTCATCGTCGCAGCCCGTGTTCTTCTCTTCTCTTTGCCTGTTCGTCGTCCGGCGAGTCGAGATGGTCATTCGTCGATTCACCTAGGCAGATTAGGGATTTTGACTTTTTGTGCAGAAAATGAATGATTTTGACTTTTTGTGAAGTTGGAAATGAAATGAGAGGAAGAACACGAGTGAAAGAAGGAAGGAATTAAATGTCCTCTTGTCTTCTTATTCTTAAATTAGTGGGCTTAAAGAGGAAGTAAGCCAAAAATGAGGCAAGCTCTTTTGCATTTTAGGCCTGTGTTTTAAATTATACACCAGTCATCAAATTCCTTACTCATTGCATTTTAGGCCTGTGTTTTAATGATTATTACAAAAACGGTATTTACAGGTATGAAACGGTTGAACCACGGTCGTACCACAAAATACCCTACCAAAAAGGAATCTGGTTTGATGTCCGGTACGGTTTCCTTTACCATGAAATAGATGCGATCCTTTTCCACTAACTTTACTAAATTTTACTAAATTATTTCATCATTACAAAAAAAATAGCTACCACAATAAGTGCACCACATGCACCCTTGTCGACCACGCAAAACCTGACAACCCATATAGATCTAAATCTACTTTTTGATCTATCAATATTCGTTATAATGTTAAAATTAAAATTCATTAATTAATAATATTATAACGCGTATAATATTTAAATAACCACAAACCCAATATTTATCCAAGGTAAGTTGTAAAATATCAAAGTAAGTTCACGTTAACTTTTAACATGACCATTCGCAATAAAACTCAACTACAATTATAAAAAGAGGATCATCTCCTAATACATATAACATTTGGTAAAAAAATGCCATAAAAACACAAGGTCACCAATTTAGACAGAAAACACAAAACAACAACCGCTTACAATGTAACACATAACAAAAACACACAACCACAGAGAACGAGAAATTACATCAAGATAGTACCGTCTAACACGATTGATCATCTGGATACCATGTCTAAGTCGACGATAAAGATATAAACAATGGATCCCATATACAGCATACACACACTTTAGGTGAAAATGATCTTGGTTGACGTTGAAGGAAAATCTCTATAGTGACAAGCTTCCCTTCAAGGCGTTTAAAATATTCAATCCGCTCATCGAGACTGAGTAAACAAAACTCTTGAACCGGCATCCGAAACAACGCTGTAAGTGGAGAAGATTCAAAAGTAATTCCGCAAGTTGCAGTGGCATCTCTACAATAAACGATACTCTTAAACCTGAAATAGTCAAAATTCCTATTAACAAATAACAAAAAAAAAAGATACGTTGAAAAAATTGTGCTTGTTCAGGATATTGTACCTCTGCGAACCATTGTAATCAAAACAAACCTCCTTCTTAGGAGGAATACTAACGATTCGAACCAAGCACAAATAACGTTTCTGAAACATGAAAAATCAAAATACAACATCACGCTAACCCATACAAAGTCAACGTAGGATCAGGAAAAAATCAACCATAACAAAATGAAGTCCCACGTGGAATAATCCCAATCAGCAATAATTAAAATAAAAACCTGGAAATCACCACACTGGGTCTCGTACAACAAAGCCAACTTATCAAGAGTCGGCCGAGAAGGAAGTGGACCACAAAGAAACCTAAGAGGATGGTGCGGTGATTCCTCAATTTTTCTAATCGGCAAATGTTCGTCGAGAAACCTGCTCCCAATATAAAATTCGTCATAAAATATAGCACTAATCGACCGTTACAAATATTAAATACACCACCTACCGATCATATAGTGTCCTATATCGATGAGTGTAATCACCATAGATAATACGACTGTCTGGAGTGCTTGTTAGAACAAGAGAGTGTGAAATCAAATTAACAATAGTATCAAAGTACATCATATCACAAATGCGAGCTAACAACATACATTAAAACCAAATGAGTCCTCCAAACAAACAAAATAAACAGTGAAGTACTCTTTTATCACAAGATGCACAATAATTCATCTAAAAATAATATAAAAAATTATGTTGCAAAAAAATACAATAGTATGTACAAAACAAATAAAATAACTAAAAACAATATATGCAATAAAATAACCATGTCCTAAGACGTACCCAGGTCATCTGATTCAGTAGACTTCACAACCAGAATGCTAGTAAAAGTCAGCACAGTTGGAGATAATAATTCGCCTATGCGAGCAAGTTCTCCAATATAATGATCATGTGTACCAACGTACTTAATGATTACAACCCTATTCCTGCACATCAATTGGAATTTTTTTAAAAACATCAAACGACGGACACAATCAACCACCGGAAGTTACGAACAATGACCTTGAATTCTCGAGAACAATATGAAAAGACATATATCTATTTGAGATATTGTGTTTATCCGACAAAGCAAGAACACGCCCACTGACATCTGCAAAATGACATGTGTTAGCTTCCAGTTCAATAAATTAAAACTTAACAAACGAAAAAAATCACCTGCCAAGTTTTGTGAATCATATCACATTTGCACCAAATCCTCAAATTGTGTGTCCCTAAAACCATCAAGGGGAAATAAAGCCAACTTCGGTGGATTGTTATCAAGAATTTCGATAAAAGACTGGGTTCTTGTCAAATGAAATCTCAAATCACACGGAGCATTTCGCAGTGGATTTCCGGTAGTCCTAGCTGGGATCAAGGGCACAAGTTTCATGTTGTATATCCCACCAACCCGAATAAGGGCACCAACAACACCACTATCCCCAGGGACGATAAAACCTTCAATGATGTCCTCTTCCATCCGGAAACTCATACAAATCATCCCAACAACAAGCAACATGATCATGTAAATAAAGCACAACAGAAACACAACCTCTCTGTCAACCCAAAGCGTATACATAACAAGAGGACTGGTCATACAAACACACTCTTTTGCCGTCCACATATGAATAAGTCTAGCAACGATATGTTTATCCACAATTGATCCATCCAGCTGACAAACGACCAACGAAGTCATGATAGGATCTACAAAAATACAATATTCATTATATTGTGGTTGAACAAAAAGCAACATGCGCCACAATCAAAGGTAGTATAATAAGAAATGTACCTTGCATTGAAGTTGGCAAAAGATAATCCATCGACATGGCAATAAATAATATACCGGGATACAAAGTCACAAATCAACGTACGTATAAAGAGAAAGGAGATGTGGTATGGCAAAAAGAGAGGACAGTGGTGGTATGAGTTGCCTAGAGAAGCTGAGAAAGAAAAGGGCAGCAGAGGGTTTGTTTGGGTAGAAAAAGGCAAAAGCATTTGGGGAAAATATGACGTATTAGGGTGGGGTCATAAATAGAATAGTATATTTACTGTTGCAGTCATAATATATTTGATTGATATGGAGAATAATTAAGGAGTATCCATAATTATTAAATAAATAATTAATAATTATGATTTTGCATATTATATCTTACGATTTGGTCGTTACATTTTTTTATATAATTTAACTTAGCATTTGATTTTTAACGATACGAAATGGTTGAACCACATATAAATCATATTTTCATCATAAAATATCAAGTCTTGACTTTACTTGTACACCTTTCAATATAATTTTACAATCTTTGATTTTTTATGCTCATCGCAATTAAAACTTGATTTCATATGTTCAAAATTCCATTGAACTTCATGAGCAAGGATTACTTGACAGCCAAATCCTCAACTGCTAATATTTGATTTACATCTTGCAACGGATTGATTTAATTTAGTGATCTCCAACTCAATTGATTATTCTTACACCGCTTATCATGTCAATTAGACTTATCAAATCTAAAAGCAAAGAAATTATATGGCAAAACTATCCAGTTGTTTATAACAACTTTACATTTCATATAGCTAACCCGAGAAATGCGCGAAGAACCGACCATAAAGGGAAGTGAATGTCCACTCCAAACCCTTACACCCGTATATTGAAAACATAACACCATTCACGCAAAATCGAGGTATTGAAGTAAAATATCGTAAAATGTACAATTAAAACATACAAAAAACAAATGTACAAATTATTCCACAACCCAGTATGCCATAAAATTTATAAAGTATAGCAGAAAACGCATAATGCATATAATAAGTAGATGAAGGGTAATATTGTAGAGGGAAGGGAAGAGAGAAGAATAGGAGGGCTGTGGGGGGAGGAGGATGGAACGGCTAGTTGCGTTCCGCAAACTTCAACTGAATTGTTAGAATGGGTAGCATGATTGAGATGTGGCAAATGGATTGATGCCTTGATGGATCCATCCGCTCAAATGTATTATATCTAATGGATTCATGGATTGGTAGTTGGATCATGGATCCAAGTGGCATCAAAATATTGGATCATTATATAAAATTTTAAAAAGTTTAGGAACTAAAATGTCATAAAAAAATTAGATACAAAAATGTAATTTTCCAATGATAATTTTTGTTAAAAAATAAATTTTAGGTATCAAATAATAACATATATAAAAAAATATGTGTATTATACCGTAATTTACCAACAATCCATCAATCTAATTGGATCTGGATCAAATGAATTAAAATCGTTGGACATTTAAGTGGGAGGATGGATTGATAAATTGCATGCAAAATTTGAAACTAGCAAATTATGTGGTGTCCGCGCAAACAAACTGCAAAAAAAAAAAATTATGTTCTTGCCTATCCATGTTGTGCATTTTATTATGCACCAAAACCATCATACATTGTTCAATGATATGATATTTTGTGGACATTTCTGCTTTTGTCTTCACTTTTGTTCTGAACAATAAGCTCAATATAATCGCAATCAAGACAAGATATAAAATGTGTACATAATAATAGACCATTACGATTTATTATTTGGCTGGTGGCCACTGATAAAAAAATTAACTTTCTTTTTGTAGAATTTTGTTCAACTTTTTTAGTGCTATAGAAAGAAAAAAAATCAATAAGAAATCAGAAGTTGGGAGGAATCATTCTATAATTAGTTATTGACACATTTAAGTACCTGGATTAGAAACCGGTAGATAGAATCCTTTCACTTATTCTAAAAACCATTTGCAACACAACACAACATAGTCAAACACTAATATACTTCCACAAAGCACACATACATTATATGCTAATAACCAATTTTCCTGCCATGTTCTAACTCACCACAAAAGTATATATACCTCATCACACTTGGCCCATTTCTCCCAAAATTTGGAGACCAGAACCATGGACCTCGAAGATCAAATGAGCACATTCCACCTCCTCAAGGCATACGGAGAGGCAATGGAGATGGATCAGAGAGACCTGGCCGGAGAACTCTTATCAAGGTTGGAAGAGAAATCATCCCCAACCGGCACCACCCTGCAGCGACTCGTATACTACCTGGTTCAAGCTCTGGATCGCAAGCATCCAGATATGTTGAGGATGGAAGCGAGCAGGAACTACGAGCTCGCCTTCAAGGCCTTCTACCAGATATTCCCGTATGGCAAGTTCGCTCATTTCACAGCCAATTCTGTGATTCTGGATGCCCTGCCATATGATGATCATCAGCAGCAGCAGCGAGGGATGGTGGTGATCGACATTGTGGACTTCGACATTGGCTGTGGCGTCCAGTGGCCTCCTCTGATGGAAGGGCTCGTGGCAAGAGGATTTACCGAGATGAGACTCACCATCATTCGATGGAATGATGATTTGGAAGAAGAGGATGGTGATGATGACGATGATGGTGGTGGTGATGACGATGATGAGGCGATCAGTTACAGTCCTACAAGCCAGAGGTACAAGGAGATCCAGACGTTGCTGCAAGAGCAAGCGCGTATTGCTGGTTTGAACCTGATCGTGGAAGAGACCGACATGGATGACTTGGAGTTCAAGCTAAAGAAGGTGGTGAAGAGGAATGCAGAACATGGTGGCCAGTGCCTAGTTTTTAACTGCATGGCAGGGCTTCCACATATGGGTCGAGGGAGGAACGCAGGGCACGTCATGGAGTTCCTGAGAGTGGCAAAGGAATCGATCGAATCGATCAACTCCTGCCACGACAGCAGCTGCCGCCAAGGGGTCATAACGTTTGGGGATGGGATAGGGTGGGGGAAGGGAATGTCAGGGGAGGCGTATGGTCCCATATTCGAAGGGCAGTTGGGGCAGTTTTACGCACTGCTGGAGTCGATGGAAGGACACATGCCTTACAAGCTAAGGGAAGCAAGGGTAGCTATGGAGTGCCTGTTTTTAACACCTTATGTGGCCTGCATTGCTGGGTTTGAGAGGTGGGAAGGGATCATTAGGGAGAGTAAGGCGCTGGCCGAACTGAGATTGCAGGCTCGGGGGATGAGGAGAGGCTGTGTGGAGGAGGCTAGAGAGCTTGTGAGGGAAGGAGAGAGTTTGCATTGGGTGTCTGTTGAAGGAGTTGAGGGGAATCAGTTGGTGTTGGGTTATAAGGAAACTCCATTGCTAAAAGTCTCATGCTGGAGATAGAAGTTCGGTCCAGGTCCCTTTAACCTATTTGTTCATAGAGATAAATGTTATATTCAAAACTTTGTACACTCATGTACAGAAGCTAAGGCTGTGAAACTAAACGAGAAGCGTAAATTATCGAGACAAGTACCTGCTGCTGCTGCTGCTATCAGATTCCAGAAAGAATCCAATTCTGAAAACAAGACACCATGCGAAAGAAAATAACTCCCAATCCAATTCCTGTCTCAAAAATTACAATCAGTGGTTGGTACTTGTATACATCCTTGAAGGTTATATACCCATGAAGAATCTGATCAATGAAGTTGAAGTTTGATTGTGCAACTGGAAAATATCCAAACAGTTTATGATAGCTGAAACCAGGCAGCCAGTCATACAAACAAGAGAAAGGCACGTATTAATTTACATAACTATCGGCTAACTGCTAAAAGTACCAGAATTCAAGTCTGGAGAAGTTAGTCTTCTACACTTTACGAGCCCGTGTCCTCTGCTTATTAGCATGCTGGACAACCTTTTCTTCCACAGGTAACCCCTTCCGTCGCCTTACAGAGTCAATCAGCTTTCTTGCTGTGTTATGCAGAACACTAGACCCATCTCCAAACTCTTCAATCTCCTCTTCCGTCTTTGGTACAAAGAAAGGATCTTCAGGGAGAGCTTCCCAGTGGCTAAGCACAAGAAGGGCACTTGCACCACCTGAAGTCTCTCTCCTGAGATCATCCGCGAAACCAAAGCTTTCAGAAACTGGGACATAAGCCTGAACAGTGAAAAGTGGTGACCCTTCCTGCATTTCTTCTTTCAAGACCCGAGCTCGCCTTTTATTCAGCACACCATACATGCGACCTAGATGCTCAGTTCGAGTGTTCAGTTCGCAGAAGTACATTGCTTCAACTATACGGGGTTTATTCTGGAGTACCACAGCTCTACATGCATCCTTAACAGTAGCCATTACCTGTCCAGGAAAGATGCCATGCTGCTCCAGGTTTTGATGCTTAGATTCAGGGTCGTCAGGTTGCTCGGTTGAAGGAGATATGTGTGCCTCTACAACAAAACCTAAACCCCACATTGGTTCATCACACAAAGGGCCAGCTGATGTTGCTAGCTGAAATCCAGAAACTATACTGTTTTGAAGAGTCTCGGCTTCCAGGCGTAATTCTTCACTAATTATTTCAGAAGATGTGCTTGCAGGTGGATGGTCCTCACTACAACCATCCAACAACCCTAGTCTTTCTGAAACTTGTGGAGAACCCACAATAAGAAAAGATGAATCGTCGATCTCGATTTTAGGATCTGGAGTGAAGAGGATATTAGGGCCAACCTGGCCTGGACCAAATGCCCAGAACCTCTTGAGAAGCTTCTGCCACTTGATTCTGTACTTTTCAGCCCGGTCCTTGTCATTCTCGCTTAACATCGAAATATCAATTTCCAAAGCATCCATTAACCTTTTCTTGAATGCCTCAATGGGATTCTCATCTAACAGAACACCTGTTCCCTGTGCCAGTGGCAAGTCCACTTTTGTCTGCCCATGCTTGCCACCAATAATATCAGCAAGTGTCTCCGTGCTTTCATCAAGTACCTTTGTCACTGCAGCTGGAAGCTTTGTCACTTGGACACGAACAACGCATCTTCCATTAGGGGTCAATTTCTCAAAATAATCGGAACTACTAGTTAATGTCCTCAGATTGTCTACTGGATTTGATGCATCGCCTTCAATAGACTCTCTATAAGACACAAGAGGTGGAGAGACTTCTATATTAACTTTTGCAAACCTTTCTTTCAAATCCTTGATACATCTCTCTAGATGAACCTCACCTGCAGCAGCAAGCACATGCTCTCCTCTAGATGAAACTGTGACCCCTACAAATGGATCTGCACGATTCAGAAGCCTCAAACCTTTCATTAGGGCACCAATGTCGGCAGGATCGGATGGCTCAATGGCAACCCTTAGAGTTGGAGCAACTTGGAAAGCCATGCTAGCAAAAGGCCAACAGTTCCTCGTGGAAGACAAAGTAGCACTTTTTAGTATGTGCTGGCCGAGGCCTCGTATTGCAACAACATTACCTGCATTGACAGAAGTTACTGGGACCAAGCCCTGACCCATCATTAGATACAATGACTGCAACTCAGCCTCTTGTACGTGCTTCTGAACTGAGTCCCCTTTCAACGGATCATATAAAGCTGAAAGCACAAAGACTTTCTGACCTGAACAAAGAACCCCACTAAATATTCTAGCAAATGCAAGGAAGCACTCATCCGAATCTCCACTTCCATCTTCATCAACATAATTCTCCAGACTCTCACCGTTAGGACCTCTTCTAGGCAGCAGCTTTGTTGGAACAGCAAACATCTTGGAAACAAAAGCAACACAAGGTGCTTCAGGGGTAGAATCACATAGCTCAACAGACTTCCTCACAAGTTCAGCCTCTTCAACAACAACAGAGTCAACTTCATCCTGTAAAAGCCTCTTGGGAAGCAATCGTGAAATCCGGAAAGATTGAGCAGCCATTGGATCAGGCATACACCTCACCACCATTGACATAACCGAATCGGACAAAGGAAGCCAGCGGCTCATAACTGATTGTAGCACAAGCTTTGGATCCTTATTCTGTAGCTCACGTTGAGGAACATTCAGATTAAACGACTTTATTACTTTATCTAGTAACCCTTTACCCCCATCTGGCTTCATTGCTGACTGATAAACCTGCCATAGAGGTTCAAGCACAAACTGCACGAACATAGGCCGAGCCTTGCTCAATCCTTCTATCCCTTTCTTCCCTACAATCATCTTAGACTTGGGGTCAAAGTATCTAGGACCCCAAAGAGCCTTCCTTAATGCAGAAGAACTTGCTCCAAATTTCGAAGCATAAAATTCAGAAAACTCATTAATAGTAAAACCCCATCCATCTAAAGCACAAACGAAAGCCACATTGCCCTTCTGAGGCTGGAACGTATCCTCCTCATCATCTTCCACAAACTCGAGATTCTCATCTCCCACTTCACCAGACTGACTAGCAAGCATCGAATCAACATCAGACAAATACTTCTCAGACTTGTATCCACTCATAATCCCATTAACCTCATGAACTATCCTCAACAACCTTGTATAAGCTTCCATGGGAGTCAACTCTAGCTCACTAATCAACCTATCCAGCTTATTAAGCACAAGGCAGGGAGTTAGCTTCTCAATCCAAGCTTGGCGGAGAACAGCATGAGTCTGGATATGAACACCTTCCACCGCATCCACCAAAACCAACGCGCCGTCGCTCAACCTAGCTGCGGTGGAAACCTCGCTGCAGAAGTCCATGTGTCCCGGGGAATCGATTAGGTTAATCGAACAATCACGGAATTTCAGAGCTATCGAGGAGCTCTTCATGGTTATGGCTCTCCTCTGCTCCTCGTCTAGGAAATCCATGAACCGGAGCTTCCCGGCCATTTTCGGATGGAGCAGGCCGCCGCCAGTCCCGGCGATTAAGTGGTCGGCGAGCGTCGTCTTGCCGTGATCGACGTGCGCGAGGATGCAGATGTTTCTAACGTTGTGAACATTGGAATCCACCATTTTCAATTTCTAATGCCGCAAAAAAAAATTCCTCGGCGGAGGGCAGAGGTTATGAGTTTAGGTTTTCAGGGTTTAGAGAGGAGAGACCGGCAAAGGGGAGGGGGGAAACGGCGGGAGAGGAAGGAATTAGGGTTTGTCTGAAATACTTTCGGGAGGAAAGAGGATGATGGGAAAATGTGTAGAAACTAGGGCTCGAAACCCTGTCCTTGGAACTTTAATTAGCCTGCGTTTCATTCCCTGTTCATTTGCCATTTCGTTTTCTATCTTTTCTTTCCACAATAGAAATTTGATAATTGTTAAATGGTAGTTTGATAATCATGATTAGACTTGTATGATACACAATGAAAAAGTTGTGATAATCAGTATCAGAAAACAGAATGAAGTAACTAAACAGGTATTCATAAGCATTCAGTTCCTCGTGGATGAACCTCACCTGTCCTTGGAACTTTAATTAGCTTGCGTTTCATTCCCTGTTCATTTGCCATTTTGTTTTCTATCTTTTCTTTCCACAATAGAAATTTGATAATTGTTAAATGGTAGTTTGATAATCATGATTAGACTTGTAGAAATTTGAAAACTCAAATAAAAAAACTTGTTCACTTCCAATTTTGTTTTTCCGTGGGGAAACCAAATATAAATATTGGTGTAGCTGCCAGAAAACAACAAATAGTTGTTTCTTCAAAATGGGGTACACGGTCTATAAAAAAAAAATGGGGTACACGGGTTTCTCCCCGTTTTCTGCGGAAATTGATTTAATGAGGTTGGGGATTCGAATCCCACAACCAGCACTATTTTTTTGCAAGCCCAAATATTTTCGCAGCTTACCGCCTCCGTTGTCCACTGGACCTCCTCGACCTGTCCCCTTCATTAATTATTAATTAGGTATGGAAATGGATGTAATGAGAAAAAGGCATTGTGCGGTGTATTTGAACCCTTTTTAATTAACGGGAAATGCGAAATCAGCGATATTCACTATTCCTTCTTGCATTATGAAATTTTCGGGCTGGGCTCAGACACTCAGATCATCAATGTTCAAATAAGCCCAAACTTGAGCTTCTTTATTGGATCCGGTACAAGACAAATGGCCCATGTAACCTTACATCATTCAAATTTACCAATTAAACCATTGAACTTAGGCCATATTGGAGATAGCTAGTCACAGCTCATAAGAGTGCGGTTCAGCTGCTTCATTGTACGGATTTAAACTAGGGATGGTAATATGTTGGATTGGGTTGGGTTTTGTCAAACCCAATCCAACCCAACTCGCTGGATATTGTCACGATCTGGAATGTAGTGATCGTGTTGATCGTCTGAAGAAAGTGTACCTTCTGGTTAGCTTGTCACACGAGGGGTAAAGGGGGTGACTCTGTCGATAAGGTGTTGTCTGCCTGTGCATCGTTCCGGTCGAGTTAGAATGTGGCAATGACGGAGATCGTTGCAAGTGAAGGCACAACTGGTTGAAGGCTATTTTCCCCTTCCTGATGAGCCCAAAGCAGGGCGAAACCAGTT